TGAGGTCGTCATTCCATCTCGTAGTGAGGGATCGTCCTACAGTGCGTTTGCCCGTCACACGCGACCTTATGGTCGGATAAATAATTAATTTGTTTACATTTTCATTAGTCCTATTGAAACAAACTGCGTCTAATGCGATCACGTTTCGTTTTCAGTCTCCATTTACGTTCCCATTGGATTCGAAGCATTTGGCGTTCCATTGTTTCTGCCTACCCTTATTGGAGACAGGTGTAACATATATGTATGTATGTATATAACTATCGAACATATAGGGTCGTATCCATCTTTTCACTAACTCCACACTTAGGTCTTTAACACCTGACGTCGTTCTCTTTTTTTTTATACAACTTAGAATGGCAAACAAGCTGACGGCCCACTTAATGGTTGATTGAAAGTGGTAACCGTCGCCTATAGACATGAGCAGTACCATGGATATAACAGAGTATACTGTTTCGCCCATGATACCCCCCATGCATTGCCATTTCTGAGGACTCAGGTGTTATTCCTCTGTACCCAGTAAATTCACGCCATATCCCACCCTTTAAACCGAACCACAGCCTACTCTACCAGTTAACCATTATAAATTTATGATCAATGGACAACGAACAATGTGGAGGCATGTCCCAGCACACCCACACTCGAGCCAATTCAGAAAAGCTCCTAGATTGGCCCGACCGCGAAACGAACCCGATACTTCGTTTATGTAAAGCAATATTCCCGCCATTACGCCATGAAGGACGTCCAGTGCATATAATTTACACTCACAGAATATAGGTTATAATATTCTGAATCAAGAAAGTAATGGTGAGTAACGTATGACAATATCTATATATTGTTATTACAATATCTGTATATCAACTCTAACTGGTATGGTATATATAGGTAATATATAATATCGAAACGAAGAATCCAATGGAAATGAATATAGACATTTGGTAATGGCCAATATTGAAATTGGTGTTAACCTTTTTTTCGTCATCAATGTTCAGAAGAAACCAATATATACATATCGGAGCGATATCGATATGACCCATCCTTACAAGAAAGTTTTCTTTTCACCCTGATCAAATAGATAGACAAACACTTTATTTGAGTCATTTATGACACACGTAAATTAACAACTGAGTTCATACAATCAAATGAATTACATAATTATAAATAATAAAATACAAAAAATATATGTTTTCGCCATCTAAGTCGCAAATCTGAGTGACACAAATAGACTACAGCTCAATTTTGCTCAAAATCAAAGCACTGATTTTCAGCTGCAGCCTAAAGTTAGGCTACACGGACGTGTGCAGCGAACCTAGTGTCCCTGTATGACCAAATTAACACACAAAAATAAAATTGTATTATATAAATAGACAGATTCCGTCGGATTCGAGAAAGTAGCATATACTGTCCCAATGCAAACCCTTTCGACTTGATAGACGTACATAATAAATTGTAGCGTCGTTTAATCCTCACGAGACCTTTCACTAAACGTTTAAGAAGGTCACATGCCACCAAATCGATAGACTAACCGAATTTCTTTCGGGCCCGCGTTGTCAATGCGTCGCGGGCATACTAATGTGCCCCTTGAAATGCTACAGAGTTATGCTTACCTCACACCATAGAAAAAAATAAATAATAATGTTTTTTGTCTATGTTCATACCTGTTTTACACTAGCTTTTACCCGCGACTTTGACCACGTGACCGGGATGCGTTCAATAACTGGGATAAAAAGAAGCCTGTATTCTTCTATATTCCATATATAAAAATATGTGGATATCAAATTTCATAGTGATAAATTAAGCAGTTAAGGCCCTAAGAGGTAACAAACAAACAAATTCACTTTTACGTTTATAATATTATTAAGGATATTATCCAGGGAGAAAAGAGAGTAGAATACGTTAGTGTCGTAAGAGACGAGTAAAGGAATTTAATAGTAAAGGGATTTGCTGCAGCGTCTTTCTTAAAACATCGCCGGAGCCTAACTACGGTTGTCAACCTGCCTACCAAACATGGCAAATATTGGTACCACCATCATTATAGGAGAGGCCTATGCCTAGCAATGGTCAACTAACGGCTGATATAATAATAATAATAAAAGGAACAATTATACATAGTAAGATTAGTTAATATCCTATTAAGACAGTATGTAATAGTGTATCTTTTAAAGTGTACTATTTAAATTATGTACAATAAAGATTTTACAATACAATACAGTATTTTCACAAGTAAATCTGATCATTTTCTCCCAAGACACAAAGGGTCGAAAAACAAAAAAAATTAACCCTCCTTATAACTTGACGGTTTGTGAACGTACACTGTTGGTGTGAGAGAGAAAATCGTATTTTTTCTTTACATATATATTACATATTTCTTTAGAAAAAGTTTGTGTAATATGAATATTCGTAAAATCATATTACGGCGATCCTATAATTGAGATAAAGGCAGATAGATGGCAATGATTTCTTTGGAAAAAATCTAACTGGTAGAATATTCCCTTCTTATAAGGTCGCTAAGGATTAACATGCCACCCTGTATACAGATATATTATTGAATAAAGATGAAATACACTATTCATCAGTAATGCAGTGTTTAACTATGTTTTCCATATATGTAAACGGCCTATAAAACCTTAGAGTACCTACATGCACGCATTCGAATGCCATCGATAATTCTTACACCGCCTTACGCGCCACAGTCTGTACACTAACAGTATCTCAACTCTCCATTTTTATAAATAAATACTTATTTGAATGAATGAGTGAGTATATTTGCATTGTACCATATAGAGGATAAGCAAGACAATTAATAAATGTGACGATACAGTTATATAAGTACAGTAAGATGGTCTTATTGCTGAAAGCAGTCTTTTCAAAACAAGGATTTACCTAATTACTTGATATCGCTATTTATTTTATACGTTCCAAAATATTAATTACATATTCTAAGTATAAAAATAATTAATACCATTATTTGTATGTAGTTTGCAATAGCTAATGTCCGCTCTGCAAAAAATAATCTACTTCATTTCTGAACCCACCGATAAAGAAAGAAACTGTTATGCAGCGCGTTTTTGTGGCGGTGCTTTATTCAATCAACTCTTTTTATGGAGTTGATGTCATTATCATTTCAGCCATTAATTGTCCACCGCTGAACATAAACCTTCCCCACAAGGAGAGTTTTGCCAGTAATTGCCACGTCTGGCAAGCGGGTTGGCAATCGCAGTTAGACTTTTAGAGATGTTTTAAGAGGGGCGCTGCTGTCTATCCCTCGACCATAAGTTAGACCCTTAGTTGCCTATTACGACGCTCACGGGAAAGGAAGAGCCGACACGGCGATATGGGGTTGATATACTGGTGTTTATATACACTATGGCTCTACGAACCCATTATCGATCTAATGACGCGCAACGTGTTGTGTGAATATATAATGCGCCTAGTACTTTTCTGTACGTGACTCAGTTTATATACGAGCCTAAACATTCTATAGATTGATGTGCGCTCGAAAAAGGAAATGTAACAAAAAGTAGTTATGACCACGACTATATTCCCATATAGGAGGGAGACTTTGTACAAAAGTCGATTGCTTGGATACCTCTGTCCCGTTCGTGTTTCAACCGTGAAGCAGCTGTGTTTGCATGGCTGTGTATCGGTTTGAAGGGTGGGATATGGCGTGAATTTACTGGGTACAGAGGAATAACACCTGAATCCTCAGGAATGGCAACGCATGGGGGTTATCATGGGCGAAACAGTATACTCTGTTATGTCCATGGTACTGCTCATGTCTATAGGCGACGGTTATCACTTTCCATCAGGTGGACCGTCAGCTTGTTTGCCATTCTAAGTTGTATAAAAAAAAGGATAGTCAGAGACGAAGTAGTAATCTATTAAAGAGACTGTCGATCCCATTCTCATTGCTAGCAATATAAGTACGCTATAATGTCGACCACTATGAAGTCTCTTTTGGTGGTCGTGTTTATTTCCTGGTCGTCACTGACCTAACTTCCTCTTTACCTAGCATCCCTCATTGGTATCTCGCCATCTAAAATCAACACCTAAAGTAGGGATATCATTCCATTTTCATTATGCTGCTTGTATATCATTTAATTCGGAATAGCATGGAAGCTGATCGTCTGCCTGATCCATAGTGGTAACCGTCGCCTATAATACATGTAAAAATGTTGCATGTGGAACTGGCTGAATGTTAAGGTTACCCAAAAATGTATAATATTATCTCAACTTACCACATTCATCGCAATTGATTTAATTTCGTTTCGTTTCATTTTAGAATGCACTGTGATGCCCATAATACCGTTCATGCATTGTCATTCCATTAAAAAAAAAAAAGCATTTTAATTACTTTTCCATAAATACCTGCGTCATATTCATGCAATGACGCCTCAAGAATTAGATAGATAAGTAGATACTCTTTATTGTTTCCTCCAAAAGATTACAATAGTAAACTTATTATTAATTAGTTGCTTCACAATTCCCTTGTAATTCCAAAAATCTCAATATCAAAGTTCTCTTATTCCTTTAGATAACTGGCTATTTAGTATTTGCACATATCTATCTCTTTCTGTCAGCGTCAGCCGATCCCTTCGGTATCGGAAATTAATTCGGCTAATTGCAAACGGGGACAAAAGCCATTACCATTTCATGACATCGTCTGGGTATCTTGTTCAATTAATTGAAAAATAATTATCAATATCGGACTTCCATTTTGTGAATGCCCCGATGTTAACAACCCCAACAAGTTCGTGTTGATTATAATTTATTATTTAAATAATAATAACACAAAAGGCATATCAAAATTATTAAAATTTGTCGTCGTTTATTATATTATATTATAGATACGGATAGAGATCCATCCATCGTTCCACATTCATCCATGCATCCATCGTTACAAACATTCGCATTACTTTATTATATTAATAGGAATATATATGTTTATTTATTGTTATGCTGTAATAAAGAGTTTTTAATGAGGAATAAATCTTCTCTTCCAGCACACTGGTGTCGTGGAAAATCTTCCGTGAAGAGTTGAACAACGTGCACCCAATATCCTCGGGGCTGGAGACTATGGCGCTGAAGACCACGATAGACTTAACGTGTAACGACTTCATCTCCAACTTCGAATTTGATGTGTTCACCAGGTACGTTCATGTCTTTATACTACAAAGTCCCCAATAATCCTCAGAATGAACTATCCATTGGCTCGGTTCGGTCGCTAGTAAATCTAAATCTAATCTAAATGTATATAATTTATTATTCAATAAAAACAGTTAATATTATTGTTTTTTAATGAACTTCCTTTCGGGATATTCCATTAATATTACAGTATGATTGTTAGTATTGGAGATCTAACAATCCCATTGCTAGCAAATATACCCTGATAAGGTATATTGCTAGCAATGGATCATCACGCGGTTCCTCCTGGAAACCATCTTGATTAATTCTTAATAAATTCGTTATTATGGACCAACAAACCTGCATTCATTCTCATCTATCATTAGTACTCCGCCAGCGTATACTGATAACGCAGGTCACCATTCCATTATCACCCATTAAAAAAAAGTCTGTGACTAATCCATTAGGTATTATAGCCGTAAGCAACTTTTTTTTGTTAGTTGTAGTAAGTGAATAAACCAACAAACTTAGTTTCAAATGTTAGTGCACGTGTAATAGGGGGGAAAAGGATTGGTAATATTGAGATTTAACAACCCCATTGCTAGCAATATACCCTGTGAGGTCGACCTCCACGCGGTTCCCCCTGGAAACCATAGTGGTTAATTCTTGTTCAATTGATCACTACGGACCAACTGACCTGCCTTCATCCTCACCTGTCACCCTTCACTGGTAGCCTGCCAGCATATACCGATAGCGCAGACGGGGCTACCATTTCATCATTCACCCGTAAATAAAAAGTACACGTGTCATAATTAACTGATAAATAATTTGTGATTATGTTACATTCCAGGTTATTTCAGCCCTGGAGTACATTACTGCGCAATTGGCAGCTGTTAGCTGTCACACACCCTGGTTACGTGGCCTTCCTCACCTATGACGAGGTGAAGGCGAGACTGCAGAAGTATATTCATAAGGCTGGAAGTTATGTGTTCAGGTAAGCGTGATTGAATCAAAAAGTCACTATCGCCGGCAGAGGGCGACTTTGTACAAGAGTCTTATGTAAATACCTCTATCTCACTCCTGTTTCTACTGCCAAACGGTTGTATTTGCTATGTTTGAAGAGTGGTATATGGCAGTTAAATTATAGGTTACTTAGTTTAAGGTTTAATTAGGATACAGTTATTATACTTGTACATTCAAACCTTCCGTAAAGGAATATCCAAATAACATTTTACCAGATGGAGACTTTCATTCATGTTTCTACCGTGAAACACTTGTGTTTGCATGGTTGTGTTTCGGTTTGAAGGAAGAAATGAATTTACAAGGTACAGAGGCATAACACAGTCCTCAGGAATGGCAACGCATAGGGGGGTACCATGAGCGAAACAGTATACTCTGTTATGTCCATTGTACTGTTCATGTCTATAGGCGCCGGTTACCACTTCCCATCAGGTAGGCCTTTAGCTTGTTTGCCGTTCTAAGTTGCATAAAAAAAAAATTGAAACCGTGCGATAATGCATTTCTTAAAAGTAAGCTGAGAAACAGACGTGGACGGTGACTTTATTTTATATTACTTAATTATTATAAAAAGAGAATTCTACATTGGAATTTAACCCACAACGATTGGAAAATACAGTAGTGTCGTACCGCGCACCAACAAGTTATTAAATATAAAGTCTTATTTACAGATTGTCGTGTACGCGACTCGGCCAATGGGCCATAGGTTACGTCACCGCTGACGGCGAGATACTGCAGACGATACCACAGAACAAGAGTCTGGTGCAGGCACTGCTCGACGGCTACAGAGAGGGATTGTAAGTTGTGTACCTAGTAGTTTACAAAAGTCGATTGCTTGGGTACCTCTGTCCCATTCGTGTTTCAACCGTAAAGTAATTGTGTTTGCATGGCTGTGTTCCGGTTTGAAGGGTGGGATATGGCGTGAATTTATTGGGTACGGAGGAATAACACCTGAATCCTCAGGAATAGCAACGCATGGGGGTTATTATGGGCGAAACATTATACTCTGTTATGTCCATGGTACTGCTCATGTCTATAGGCGACGGTTACCACTTTACATCAGGTGGGCCGTCAGCTTGTTTGCCATTCTAAGTTGTATAAAAAAAAAGGTAATCAAATTATTAAATATATCATCGCTGATGCCGAGATATTTTGCAAACGAAACCAGATAAAAGAGTCTATTCTAAGCGTTATTTGACGGCTACAGAGTGGTATTATAAGTCATTTTACCCTATAATTAGTAAAAGTATAACCCAAGTTTTCCCAAGAGACTACAGCATGGGGTTCTTCAAAAGGGGGGTAAAGAGGTTTCTTCAGGGTCGGCAACATGAGCGTATTACCTCTGGTATTGCTGGTGTTCTTAGGCTACGATAACCACTTACCAGCAGGTAGGCCGTATGCTTGTTTGCCATCTCAGTGGTATAAAAAAAAAAAGAACGGTTAATGTGACGATGATGATGTGTTAAACTAAATAAATATGTCGTTTCAGCTACTTATACCCAGACGGCCGGGACACGAATCCGGACCTGAGTAGCGCCATCATCTCGCCGGCCGAGGATCACATCACAGTAACACAGGAACAATACGAGCTCTACTGCGAGATGGGTGCGTATTAATTGGAGTTTTTTTTTTTTTTTATGGGTGAAAATGGTATGGTAACCCCGCCTGCGCTAACGGGATACGCTGGCGGAGCACCTGTGAAGGGTGATAGATGAGAATGAAAACAGGCCAGTTAGCCCATCATGATGAATTCATCAAGAATTAACCATGATAGTTTCCAGGGGGAACCGCGAGGAGGTCGACCTGGTTGGGTATATTGCTAGCGATAGGGTCTCCATTACTAACTATCCCTTTTCTCCCCCCTATTAATTGGAGTTATATCCTGCAGGAATAAATATCACTATAGTCTGCTTCAAATGTGTGGTCCCGGCATAGAATGGGCCACTCCTTACTTTCCGGTGGGAGGAACTTAACGGTAGGGGAATGGGCAGGAGCCGTCCCCCTTAAAACATCACCAAAGCCTAACTGCTGTTGCCAATCCATCTGCCAAGTGTGGCAACTATTGGCATAATCTTCCAATAGGATGAGGCCTATGTTCAGCAGTAGACAGTTAACGGCCGGTGATGATGATGTTTATTTGATATTAATATTTGTTCATAAATATAATTTCACATTCCAGGTAGCACGTTCCAACTGTGCAAGATATGCGCAGAGAACGACAAAGATATTAGAATAGAACCGTGCGGTCATCTATTGTGCACGCCGTGTCTCACAGCGTGGCAGATTGTAAGTGGTTTTCATATATTTATTTAATAACTTACTTGAATCGTACTGTAATATTGCAAAATGACATTTCCCATGATGTGTTCCTTTCGTCCTATAACCTCGGTTACTTCAAACGTACCCTGAAAATGCACTCCGTGAGCAGGCACATTTGGTTTGGTTGATCTCATTCATGGATTGTGTTGTTTCTGTGCTCGTTTAGAATGGTGTAGTCATATGTTATAATAAAATTATATAATTATTTCAGAAAAAAAAAAACATGCCGACTTCATTAATGGCAGAACTTGTTATTTAGCTATTGAGAAATAAAAAAATATAAACTTTTTCTGATTGTAATAAAATTTCTATAGCACCAATCTAAAATTATACTTTATCAGATAAAAAAATCCAGATGATTTTATAAATAAGTAAGTTATGAAGTAACAAGCATAAAAAAAACCGAATCGAGAACCATCGAGAGAATAAGTAGATTGAATAAAATATGCTCACAACTGTAATCTCCAATTAGGTAGTTATACATGTCAACTGTTTGATTGTTTTTGATAAACGTAACGCTCAATACGCTAGTAATATATTCGGTTAGGTAAACCTCCACCTGTACTCCCTTGGAAACTTTCATCGTGAGTCCTAGTGAATGGACCGAGAAGACTTCACTTCGTCCTTATTATACATCACTGGTACCCCAGTATATACCAATGGCGTAGGTAGGATTACTATGTATTCCATTTTCAACAAATGTGGCTATGTATTGGTTTTGTATACCGTCTCAGCATTCAATGATAGCAGGTTTAATCCCGCACGCACGAATACACGTACGCACGCAGGACGCACCCACGCACTCCAACACGCCCACACACACAAACAGGCGGCACGCATATACACAAAGGCATGCACGCACGCACACATGCACAAACATGTGCATACCACAAAATATTATTTAAATTAACTCTTTTCGTCGTACCATTGCTGTCAAATTTTTTGCTTTGACTTCCATAAGCTTTGCCTAGTGTGAAATTATATAGCTATATTGTATCATAGGCTAATCTTGTTTAATGAAATAAACTTATTCTTAAATTTGTAGTGCAAACTTGAATTTCTCAAATTATTCTTTTAGTATTAAAGCGAGGGTTTTAAAGGATGGATGGGATGTTTGTTACTCTTTCACGCAAGAACTACTGAACAGACTTGACAACCAACTTAAATAGATAGATATATGTTTTGCTTGCATTACTTATAGCACACAAATAAAAACAGACATAGAAGACGTAAGAAAAAAAGAAATAAAAGAATATATATACAAAAAAAAAAAGAAAATATATAAAAGAAATAACATTTTTCATATCGTGAATGTGCCGCAGTAACACTAATATATGTAATGGCGTGAATTTACTCGGTACAGAGGAATAACACCTGAGTCCTCAGGAATGGCAACGCATGGGGGGTATCATGGGCGAAACAGTATACTCTGTTATGTCCATGGTACTGCTCATGTCTATAGGCAACGGTTACCACTTTCCATCAGGTGGGTCACAACTTAGTTACTAATTCACATGGACAACGGCACAACTAGAAATTTATTCTCATCTACCACCATTTGTTAAGGTCACATTTTGTATTAATCAATTGAAATGTTTCAGGATTCGGAAGGTCAAGGGTGTCCGTTCTGTCGCGCGGAAATAAAGGGCACTGAGCAAGTCGTCGTGGACGCGTTCGTTCCTCCGCGACCGCCCAACACAACTAGTGATGTCAAGTTAGTAATATATACTTACTAATTTTACAATTACTACCTCTTCCATTCCCGTGAGTAATGTAAGAGGCGACTAAGAGGAATTAATGGTCGAGAGGTGTGCAGCAGCGCCCCTATTCTGTTGTCAATTTGCCTGCCAAGCATAGCAACTACAGGAAAATTCTCTCCAATGCTAAACTGCCATAAGGAACGCTCCCACTCCTTATGGCAGTCTATGAGGAAGGTCTATGTTCAGCAATGAACAGATAATGGTTCAAATAATAATTCTTACTTATACAATAAAATTTTAACTAAACAATGTCTGTACTATAGATATTTAAGTAAACGCAGTTAGGGTTTAAAGATATTTAAGAGGAATATTGCTGCCCATCCCTCGCCATCCCTTAGTCTCCTTTTATAACAGGAAATGAAAGGGGTGACCTATACTATGCTGGAACCCCACGGCCATTTATTTATAATATGCATTTATTAATATATAAACTAATGTACAATTCCAGAAGCGCAAACACAAAGACTGCCGTGAAGCCGGTATCGTCGAACTCATCAGGGTCGTCCGGATCGTCCGGCTGCAACGGTTCTAGTGAGTATCTGGTCTCCTGATCCCCATGTCTTGTTCATAATACTAGGAACGCGATACTGATATCTTATATATATATATATATATATATATATATATATATATATATATATAGAACTGGAAAAATATTTTAATGTAATAACTACCAGTTCCACTATGTGTGAACACAGGCTCACGCTCACATCACAGCCGCTCATGAATAAGAATCACGAATTGATTACGAAACTAGTTGAGCTTTCTCGGTCTAATTACATGTATGTTAAACCGTTAGTTATTACATTAAAATATAATGTGTGCTTACGAAACTTTTAACAATAAAATTGGCAAATATTGCTAAAGTCGAGAAAGCATTCTAAAATTGTTATTTATATCTTGTAGTTTTTTAAAGAAAAAATTAAAACACTTTTAACAAAAGTTATTTATTTAAAAAATCCATAAACAAAATACTTTCAACGTAGCACATCCCTAATCTGGTCGAAAAAGGAATCCCTATTCGCGGAATGATAAAATAACTAATTAACGAAAGGAGGTGTATATATGTATATATAATAAAATAAAATAATGTATAATACCACTTCTAAATGGCGCCTCAAGATGAAACATATATAAATTTTTAAATTAGACCTTCAAAAATGCAACTATGAAAACCGCATCTTCTATTTGGTTGTAGTAGTTTTTGTGTGATTGGCATCACCACCAGCAAAAACTGACACAATTTAAAAAAAAATAAAAATACTGTTTTGGCTTCTAAGTGTTTTATTAGACATCGTTTAGTTATTTATTTTTTATATATTAGTAAAATTTCTCATATAGTATCATATAGGCGAGTGTTACCACTTTCCATCAAGTTAGCCATTAATTTGTTTGTCATTCTAAGTTGCATAAAAAAAAATTAATTGCCTTTTCTTTCATTGCAGGTGTAGATGTAACTATATCGAACAACTCCAACGGTTGGTCAAGAAATGCCACGTTCAATGGACTCACTGATGACATAGATGACGCTGAGGTAAATTGATTTATATTTACATACGACTTTCTTCTACATAAAACATGTATGAAAAAGTTTGCTTCACAATGACGCCTAGACTACTGAAAGAATTTTTATATGGGTGATTTTCAACAAGTGCATTTTCTGTCTAGTGTCGGTGAAATTTCTTTCGTTTGGTCTTCAGTAAAGATGGTGTCCCCCAGAAAGTATTTTATAAAATGCTTCCTTCCTTAAATTCCTATCGGGAGAAGGTGAAAGCACTGTTGTAAGATCCACCAAAGTTGGACAGGAGGGGGTCGCATTAGCTGAAAAAAATACCAATGTAATTTAGCTATTATAATATATGGTCACCCAAAATAACCAAAAATACGTCTATTTCTACTCATTAACAAAGTCTAATGTTTGTAGCCAAATATGTTGAAATCTTTAATATGTATAAGTGCCAAATTTGACATTTAGATTTGAAAGAAAAATTATTTATGTATGTTACATAGACATTACAGCAGCTAACTATAAAAACAAGTGCCACAAAAAAGGCTCTTACTCAGCATGTGTATGGAGTCCTTACGACTTGCCGTAAGAGCCTATAGTTGGATATTTTGTATGTAACATGACGTAACATCCCTGGTGTTGTAAATATCCATGGGCTATAATGATATAATTTATGGTATAAAAAAAGACATATGGTGATCAAGCTAAATGCTTACTTAATAAAAAGTGGCAACCTTTAGCCTATAGATTTGAGAACACCATGTATATACAACAGAATATACTGTGCCGCCCATGATACCCTTCAGGCGTTGCCATACCCAAGGAATAAACTTCGGGTTTTATTTTTCTAAAGAAGTTTTAATATAAACGTTTAGTTCATTTTATAGTAGCTGTATCCCATAACTCCACCCGCGTGACTCAGTACATAATATATCCTATGTACTTAAGTAGGATATAACCTATCCATGTGCAAAATCTCATTCAAATCCGTTTAGTAGTTATTGCGTGAAACAGTAACAAATATCCGCCCATTCCTCTATATCTCCATCCCTCTATCCAACCTTACAAACTTTCGCATTTGTAAACTTAATAGTTTAGCATACATAGAACAATTTTATGAATAAACACGATCGTGTTGACATTTCGTATAATAGTTTGTATTTGAAAATTAATTCAACCATTTTTTTATATATAAATGGCATGGGTTTCGCATTTTTGCCCGTATGGGATTTAGCATGTTTTGTGTTATTGGGAAATGCTTATAAATGTCATGTGTTATCATTATTCTTTATCATTTTATGTGTTTTTTTTCTATTGGGTCCATTTGAAACTTATCTGTTACTACATCAAAATAATATATATATAAGAAAACAAAAAACTGTTGCTTTTTTTAGAACAATGTATTTAATTATACATGTTTTTAAAACATGATTAGATGATGTAGCGACAGATAAATGTACTCCCACATAGTATGGAGCAGGTGACATAAAATTATAGAAAGACTAAGTACCAGGAGAACAGAAATAGGAGACGTCTGCATGGGTATTGATTGTCTACAATAACATGGCACTCCTTATAATATTTCTTTAATTGTTTTTTTTTTTTCGCATTGTAAGTAATCATAAGTGGTAAATGAAAAGTCACAAAAACTTAGCTCTCTATAACAACAAATTTCGGAGAAATAAATCTATCTCCTGTGTGGAGAGATATCGTCCAGTTAGAATTTTATTATAATAGTAAATTACCTGAACAGTTAAATTTAACTTTTTATATTTACCAGAGGGAGACTTTGCACAAAAGTCGATTGCTTGGGTACCTCTGTTCCATTCGTGTTTCAACCGTGAAGCAGTTGTATTTGCATGGCTGTGTTTCGGATTGAAAGGTGGGATATGGCGTGAATTTACTGGGTACAGAGGAATAACACCTGAGTCCTCAGGAATGGCAACGTATGGGGAGTATCATGGGCGCAACAGTATACTCTGTTATGTCCATGGTACTGCTCATGTCTATAGGCGACGGTTACCACTTTCCATCAGGTGGGCCGTCAGCTTGTTTGCCATTCTAAGATGTATAAAAAAAAACTGCCCTGTTTAAAGCGTCTTAAAAGGTTTATTTTCGAGGAAACCGATCAGATATTTATAATAACAATTTGTGGAAAAATACAACTTTCTTTCTAATAATATCAATACATAACTGATTCATGGAAATTTTGTCAAAAATACGTTTATTATCAACTCAAAACAGTTCATTTATACAAAAAAGAAACTAAATTGATTTTATGTTACTTAAAATGGCTAACAGGTTGACGATCTACCTGATGGTAAGGATAACTGTCGCCTATAGATATGAACAGCATTGTGTATGTGGACGTTCATAGTACCCCTCATGGGTTTCTATTTCTGAGGAATATGACGTTGTGTTCTCTATAATTTCACTGCCATATCACACCCTTCAAACTGAACCAGCCATCTTCGTACAGCTGCTTCGCAGCAGAGACGAGTGTTGGCAGAGGTATCCAAGCAGACGTGTACAGTCTCATTTTACTGAACTGTTTTCTTGTGGAAGTCCATATCATTGGTTAATTGTTTAGAATTATTTTGTTTAATTTCGCTGCCACAAGTACCACAACCTTCCATATTAGTCATCAATCTCCGACAGCTATTTTATTCACGCATGTTTTACTACTTATACAGTTATCTCTAGGCTCCGAGTAGCGATTTAGTAATTTGCCTGAAAGTGCCCCGTTTAGTCTTGATACATGTGTCACGAAATGTGCGTGGACGAGATGGCAGTCGGAGATTAATGACTTGTGGTTCTTCTGGTAGTATTAATGATGGTCAATCTTGGCAGTCACATACATACTAATATTAGCGGCATTCAACAAAATAATTTTAATTAAAAAACTAGTGTACAAGGTCGCCCTCTAGCAAGTAGTTTGTCACCTACACCATGCTACCATGCAGAAGAGATGATGCTGATAATGTGTTACCAACGCATGCTTTGATCATCTGTTGTTTGTTTTACAGAGACGCGCGAGAAAATCACCGCATGCTTAGTTGCACGTGCTTGTTACGATCCAGCAGTTACATTCCATTGTTTTTGTATCGTGTCATTGGATATTATTATTATTATTTATATATATATAAGTGAAAGTACCATAATACGTACTAGAATCGCTTTCCGCGCGGTTTTTTTCCCGCGCATTTGTGTATTGGAAACTGTTCATGTTGGGCGCTCTTATAATTTTATCGTCACGATATAATGCACGATTAAGACGTCTTTAATTTTTAACGACAATATCGTTGATATAGATATCGTGGACATACACGGAAAACAACTATACGAAACAGTATACTCTGTTATGTCCATGGTACTGCTCATGTCTATAGGCGACGGTTACCACTTTCCATCAGGTGGGCCGACAGCTTGTTTGCCATTCTGAGTTGCATAAAAAAATTATCTACTTTATTTTTTTTTTCTTTTATAAAATACAGCCCATGTTCCTTGCTGACAATGTAGTTTTCTATAGATAAAAGGTATTATAAAAGCCATCCATTACCCAAAAAAAAAAAACAATACTTTCGTCTTTGTAATATTAGTTTGGATTCTATAAATTATGCTTTACTTTTTTTTTTTATATTGATTCAGGAAAGACATAGTGCATAAAGCGCTACTTTGGCTGATATTTCAATTACATTATTTATTTATCATTAAATGTAGTTTTTTTTTTCTACGTCATATTGTATATTTATTATATGAACGCTCGATGTAACGCTTTTAATTCCGTTTACGATAAATTTGCTGTTATTATTTTTAATACCACTCAGGTGAAACAAACATACGGCCCACCTGATAGTAAGCGTTTACTGTAGTCTATAAACACCTGCAATATCAGGTGGTCTACCATGAAATGAAATTTCGAATTATCGGGCTCAATTTCGTGTTTTTGTTCGTACCGAAATCGAGCCAGTAAATGGAGCTTAACATTTTGTTCATCATAAATCCTATCCTAATTGTCTAGAAGAACGATATTTTAACATTTTTAATAATTTTAAACGGCATGTATTATGTATTTTTAACATCAAATTTCTGTTTCGTTCGTCCCCGAAATTTAGGAAGATATTTCATGGTAGGCCCCCTGAGGTATTATGTGCGCGTTGCCGCCGCTAAAGGAACTTCTTTACCTCTTTTTTGCACAACTCCATATTGGAATCTCTTTATTTTATTTATTTACTTCTAGAACTTGATTTGATTGATGATCAATTATTAAAATAAAAGTTCCAATAAAGCCTTAATAGTATATTAATAAAACATTGTGTCTAATTAAATGTGTAATCCCATTATGAGCTCTCGCGATATAGTTTTACAAAGTATGTGTGTACCTACCTATAAATAAATACATAATAGTTTAAAATTATAATCCCTATAAATACAATTAAACAACATACATATATAGTTATTAGAAAATTAATCGCTTCCTTCTAAATAAGTTTGTCTCCAATAATATCGTGACGATAAAATCGTGCCGTGTCGTGCTATGATAAAAATACTTGGCCATGGCCAATACCTGGGATAAAATATGACCGGTAAAAAATATTTTGTGCGTATTAACCCAAATATGCAATGATTGCTGATAGACTTCGGATAGATTATCTGACAGATAGCGTATTTTTTTTGTCTGTACCACTGACCAACATAGAGATAGATGTAGCAATATCTCTATCTGAATACTAAACGTGTCGCTACTAAACTGCATATTGTGATGTTACAAAAATTATTAGTCAAGGTTTGAAGAGTGAGGTATGGCAGTGAAATTACAAGGCATAAGAACAGTGACGCCTTAGCTCTCACGAATAGTAACTCAGAGTAGCCACGAATGTCGCAGTGTATTCAGTAATATCTAATTTGCTGGTCTACCTCAATCATTTATTGTAGTAAGTGATTAAGGTAGCAATATATGGCATAAACCATCCGCTTGTTATAATTTCTGGTTGCATAAAAAATACGTGATATCTATAAAATAATGAATTAAACGCAATCTGTCAGAAGACTGTTAACTTTATTGGCAATCTGGTATAATGGTTATTAAAAGAGATTAGTATTAAATAATAAAGTATTAAATCTATTTAAATTTATTTTTGGTACTTAAATCGACGTTACAGGTAAACAGTACCTACTATGGTAATACTTGACTTTTTTTATTGCCAACGTTTCGATGCTGTTATAAATATGTGTAAAAATGGGAACGTTTAAAATTAAGTATTAAATGATAGCAATTTCTTAAGTAAAAAAAAAAGAAATTTGTAAAATTATAAATTCATCATTCCGATATTCAAACTTTTTTTTATTATATTACAGATAATATGAATTTAAAATTTGATTCTCTACAAACTATTTATTTATAGTGTAATTTTTAATTTTTTTGGACTAATATATATCAATTTGTACACAAGAAATGCAAAATATTGTTTATTTCTGAACATTTTTAAATTATAAGATGTTCTAAATTTAAACGAGTTACTATTACACAATTTTTTTTTTTTTTAGAAAAGCATGAATTATTTTTTATTCTTGCAATTTTTATTTGTGCCACAATCGGTCAATTATTTATTTACTTATTTCCTTTTCTCGTTATAATATTATTTATTATAATAATTTATCATATAGGGACAAATGAAGACTTAACAGTTCTGAAACAACTTTTTTTATACAAAAATAAACACTAGAATTTAATTTATTCACATAAATTTATTCAAATTAAAAAGCGAAAAATATCTAGAGAGACAAATCAAATGTACGTATAAAATATACTAAATGTATTAAAACTATTTTATAATATTCTTTTTTTTATACGATGTCTAAATACATATCTAACGGAAAATTAACAAACTCCGTTTCCGATAATTGTTTAGACATTGTCCAGTATTAAAACAAGACTTTAGCTTAATAATAATATGGTGCATTATTGTTTTCTGCGCCTTTAGAAGACTTTCTTTTCTCGTCAATTAATTGATGTAAGAAAGAAGCATACAAAAAAATAACTTATTGATCTTAAAATAAGGTTCTCAATTCTCTAAGTCGACTTCACTAACCAACTTACAATATGGAGAACATTCTTCTGAAGCAATTTTGATGTCTTTAATCCATTTTCACAATAATAATCGTATATGTCTCATACATTACCGTTCATCATATTTTTTGTAAAATAAAATGGCCTTATTGCACTTAAAAAATAAAACTGTACTTTTATAACTAAAGTATAAAATAAGTTGTTTCATAATTAATTATTTTGAATAATCAAAGTTTCATATTATAATGCAAATAGTTTGTAATTAATTTTAATTATTTCAAATTCGACGGCTCTAATTTAAATTTAAGTGATATGAAGATCTTATTGTTTTTTTTTTTAAATTTTCGAAGCCAGTTTTTGTAAGCTGTTTTCATGAAATATATTTTTTTTTATAATTTTTACTTATAAGATTTCACTCTTTTTTTTGTGTAAAAATAGTATTTTTTATTGCTAATTTACTGATTTATTTATTTTTAAGTTTTTAATGTTGACAATATACGCTTGGTGATATGTGCTTATGTGTTTTTTTTTTTTTTATTTTGGTTTGTTGCCTGTTAATATATTTTGTATCAAATATTCTTTCTTTCTTGAGAATTCTATATATGTACAATGAAAACTGGTCAAGACCGACCGTCAAAAATACTTGCAAAAGAAACATTGCTAATTAATATTGAGCGGTTAAAAACACGAATCTAACTTAAAACTATAAATTTATTACCTACCATTTGCTAGATATAATAAAAAAAAAGTATTATATTTTTGGTCCTCTCGCTAGCAATTCCTAACATGAGAAATAATATATACAAGTAGCAGCGACGGTAGGGCAACCCATACTGTCACGGTAGGGGTCGACTTTGTACAAAAGTCGATTGCTTGGGTATCTCTGTCCCATTCGTGTTTCAACCGTGAAGCAGTTGTGTTTTCATGGCTGTGTTTCGGTTTGAAGGGTGGGATATGGCGTGAATTTACAGGGTACAGAGGAATAACACCTGAGTCCTCAGGAATGGCAACGCATGAGGGGTATCATGGGCGAAACAGTATACTCTGTTATGTCCATGGTACTGCTCATGTCTATAAGCGACGGTTACCACTTTCTATCAGGTGGGCCGTCAGCTTGTTTGCCATTCTAAGTTGTATAAAAAAAAATACCAAACAAACAGGTGACGCGCTGAAAAAGGGTCAAACCAACACAACATCCTCTTTTCATTCTTTGTCATTACATCATCTTGTTATCCACACTTCTGTATTGTATTTGCCTATCTATTATCATGATCGCAATATTACATGGTACAGTAAATTAAGAAAGCGCTCGTAATGTGCATGATTATTTTTTAAAAGCATGCTTGTTTCTAATAATGATTTGTCATCCTTTAGTTGGTTTCATGTTTCATTAAAAAAAAATTAACGCGGGGCACCCTACTTATCGTTGATGATGTCCTAGTATTAAATTCTCAGACTAACTCAGAAAATAAACTTTTATTATTTTTTTATTTACTCTGGTAAAGATAATTTATTTAATACTAAAGCACATGTAAACGACTACACGGATTCTTACTAAAATTAGATAATTGTCGTGGGCCTCTAGACAAATGGCAAGCGAATTCGTCGATGGACTCGACATCGCTAGCGAGTCCGTGAGATAGAATGAGATAGCAACGCCGAATGACTCATTCCAACTCACAGACTCGTTAGCGATGTCGATTCCATCGACGAATTCGCTTACCACTTGTCTAGAGTGCCTGGATTAGAAGAGACAAGGTTGTTTCTCTTATAGTATTTATTGTTAGTCTTAAAATTAGCGGGTCTACCATGAAGTGAAATTCCGAAATTTTGGACTCAATTTCGTGTTCTTGTTTATACCAAAATCGGACCAATAAATGGAGTTTAACATTTCTTTCATCATAGATCCTATCATAAAAGTCCAAAGGAACAATATTTTAACATTTTTAATATTTCCAAATGGCATGTATTATGTAATTTTAACATCAAATTTCTGTTTCGTTTGGCTCCGAAATTTCGGAAAACATTTCATGGTAGGCCCTCTGATCTCATGTCATCTAGATCCGTGCTATAAAAAAAAAACTGGTATCTGTGACATAAGCATATTACTTAATAATAAAACTGTATTCAGGTATAATTTATATGAAGGGGAGCAAAAGAATGAACTGTGTTAAATAGGTAATGAACCTTAGTCCTTATAAATAGCAAGGTATGCGATATCATGGGTAACACGGTGTATTCAGATTGTCTATAAATGACTTTCCATCAGGTGTTAACAAAAAATATTAATTATATTAAAAAAAACATAAACTTGTGCATTTTTAAACCAGAGAAAAACTACAAAAATTGTCTATTTATTGGTATTGCAGGCGTTCATAGGCTACGGTAACCGCTTACCATCAGGTGGGCCGTATGCTTGTTTGCCACCTTAGTTGTATAAAAAAAAGAAAACTACAAAAATTGTCTAAAAGAATGTCTATGTCCTCCTAGTATTTTAATCGCTAAAAAATAATGCAAACTTCATAGCTGCATTTTGATCCGAAGAGTGGTAGCGAATTAATAGGATACATAGGCGTGTTGGTCCCGGCATAGAATAGGCCACCCCCTTCCTTTCCCGTAGGTGGCTTAAGAGGCGACTAAGGGAACTCGTGGTGGAGGGATGGGCAGTAGCGTCCTTCTTAAAAAATCACCAAAACCCAAACGGCAATTGCCAACCCGCGTATCAAGCGTGACAACTACTGGCAAAACCCCCCTTATGGGGAGCCTATGTTCAGCAGTGGACAATTAACTGCTGATATGACGTAAGCAAGATTCTCAAGAATGGCAACGCATGAGGGATTGAGGATAGATAGATAGATGAATAATTTATTTGCATTACTTACAGCACACAAACAGCAAAAGACACAAATGTACAAAAAATTTAAAAAAATCAAAAAGAAAATCAGAATGCATAAAATTAGTAACAATTTTTTTTTCTTCATGCGTGTGCCACAGTAATACAAAATGGCCACAACTCAGCTTAAGCGTACCAAATAAGGTCCATCAGGTGAACCTTCAGTATCATAGTACAAAGTTTTATAAAATGAATATAACTCCAGGACTGGGCCGAATTCAACGCAGCCACGTCGACAATCGACGCTCTCCGCCCCTCGATCCGTTCCCCCGCGGCCTCGCCGCGCCACTCCCCCCGCGCCTCGCGCCGCGCCCCCGCGCCCGCTGAGAACGCGTACGGGGAACTCAGGGCGCCCCCACTCCCCCCTCGGAAGAGTTTATCACCCGCAGAACCTGCGATTGTAGCGGCGTCCAGTGTCCAAGACATAGCGGCGGCTACGGCGCAAGGTATGTTTAATTTTTTTTTTTCACTCAGTAAGTATAAATGCCTAACCCTAACTCCACTTGCGTTATTGGTATACGTTGGCAAGGTTTTTTTTGATGGGTGAAAATGGTATGGTAACCCCGCCTGCGCTAACGGGATACGCTGGCGGAACACCAGTGAAGGGTGATCGATGAGAATGAAAACAGGCCAGTTAGCCCATCATGATGAATTCATCAGGAATTAACCATGATAGTTTCCAGGGGGTACCGCGAAGAGGTCGACCTGGTTGGGTATATTGCTAGCATTTTATATATATTATTTATATATAGTATTTCGCTGGCATATCCAATTAAAATTATAAATACGAAATTTGTTAGGACGGATGGATAATTGTTACTTTTTCACTTAAAAATTATGAAACGATTCTGAATAAAGTTTGGTACACGGGTAAGTTGGTATATTAACACATAGGATACTTTATGTATAGATTTACGCAAACAAAGCCGCAGGAAATAGCTACTTAATATATATGAATATCTTACAGAACCCAGAAGGCGGTCTTCATTAGAACCAGAACCGGACTCTCGGCATCGTTTAACGTCCATCATCACAGGCTCTACAGAAACTATCACAGGCATCATTGACACGAGACATGAGGTGAGAAATTTAATTAACTCATTCATTTAAATAAATAATCAACGAGACTGTCAATGAATTATATGGTACTTTTCATGATAAGCGGCCATCGCACCCGTGAAAGCTTGCAAAACACAAGCAGCAATTAATGACTTTGCTGGGTTATACCACCCTTCAAACTGCAACGTAACATGTTTGCAAATAGTATAAAAATTGTTCAAAGTTTTATAAGTACACATTATATTTTAATATAATAACTGCCAATTTAACTTACGTGTAATTAGGTCTAAAAAGTTCGACTAGTTTCTGCATCCGTTCGTAATCCTTAGTAAGTTAAACCGGTAGTTTATTTATTTCGAATTAGGAACACCAACAGTATACATATTTTTATGTAGTATGCTGATATGCATACCTATAGCAGGCGTACACAACATTGACTACAGATTACATGCATATAAATGTCATAATATAATTAATATAATACATTAAATTTATAATTACATATTCTTTATTACAAAATTCAATTAAATACAAAACAAGACGGCAATATCATTGAATCTACATGGTCTTCAGTATCTTATCGCGAAACACTGCCAACGAGTCATGGCTTACGTCTATATCCGGATCTAAACCGCATATATGATTATAGTTATTGCATATTCTTGCAAGCGGAGCACTCAATCCTAAATTAGTTTTGCACAGTGGCACATAAAATATTGATGGAATACCTAGGGATACTGTGAGGAACTAATAGTTATTATATTAAAGTATAAAAATTCTTAAAACTGTCAAGAAATCTTGTTTTATATCACTTGGGACAATGACACAATTAGTGTGAAAGCGGAATAGACAGAAAACCTCTAGTTTCATTCGCTTTAATAACTCATGTAATTTAATTATTCTGAAATTTAAGCAATTTTTGGTTATTACTTTATTTGTATTAAGTAGGTAAATGTATTTTTTTTAATTCTAGGTGCCACCAGACCCAAGAGCATTTGAAAAGCCCCGACGCGCGTGTACACCACAATCGAATAGTCGTCCATTACCAGCCCCTCCCCCCGAACGGCAAATAGATGACAGACTGTCAGATCCAAGGCCAGAAGCCAGATCCGACAAACAAACCCCACATCCCCCAGAAGCCCGTACACAAATACCTGTGATAGAGAACAGAGAAAGGCGCACACCTTATGTAGAAAGCAGAACTAATTCGGAAAGTAGGTTAGAAAGACATCCTATTGAAAGACAAATGCCAGAGAATAGACTACCAGACAGACAAGTACCAAACCCACCAGAAAAACAAGAAAGACACATACCAAATCCTCCTGAGAAGCATGTTGCAGTCATAGAAAGACAGGAGAGACATGTAACGAATCAGCAGGAAAACAGGATACCAGAAAGACACGCTCCACCAATGTTAGAATCCAGATTGAATTCAGAAAACAGAGTGCCTGACAGACTTCCCCCGAATGCATTGGATAAACAAGAACGAAGCCAAGAAAACCGTCTGACAGAGAGACCGATACCAGATACTCGTCATCCAGAAACCAAAGATCGACACGTGCCTGATAGATTAGTGCATCCACCTGAAAGCAGGACAGATAGACAAATGCATATGCCCGAAAGGCATGTGCCAGAAAGAGATAGGCATGTACCTTTACCAAACGAAAGCAGGCATATAGAGTTTCGTCATCCGCCCGATAGGCCGCCTGATAAGCCAGATAGGATAGATAGATCTAGTTTCGATAGGGATAAGGTAGAAAATCGGGCGCCGCCACGGCAACGGTCATTGCCAACGACGACAAGTAGCAGTGTAGACCACCAACCCACCAAGTCAACGACAATGCCCAAGTTCCCGTCAGAGGATATGAAAGATCCTCCGTACGAGAACGTCGCGGTGGAGAAAAATGAATTGCCTTTAGGACGTAAGTGGTTTTTTTTTTTACTAGTTTTTTGTTATGATAATTAATATATAGATGTCCTAGTATTTTTTTTATACAACTTAGAATGGCAAGCAAGCTGACGGTCCACCTGATGGAAAGTGGTAACCGTCGCCTATAGACATGAGCAGTACCATGGACATAACAGAGTATACTGTTTCGCCCATGATAACCCCCATGCGTTGCCATTCCTGAGGACTCAGGAATATCAGTAGTATCTTTGCTGGTGTTATTTTTGATACTTTCTTCGGTTTGCACTACCGTCTAGGAAACTGTCGTCTTGTTTACCAATTTTCTTTTGAACCTTTACATATAAAGCACTCTGTTCGTTCGTTTCATCATCATCATCATTTTAGCCATTATCTGTCCACAGCTGAACATAGGCTATGGTATTGCTCATTTCTTTTTGACGGTTACCACTTTCCATCAGGTTGGCCGTCAGCTTGTTTGTCATTCTAAGTTGCATAGACTGCCATAATGAACGGTCCTGAGCTGCATCCAATGAGTCCCTTTAAGAGCTCGTCACTCCATCTAGTGGGGGATCGTCCTACACTGTGTTCATCCGTGCAGAGTTGCTACTCAAGAACCTTTCTTCCCCATCGGTTGTAGGTTCTTCGAGCTATATGACCAGCTCATTGCCACTGTTTGTTTGTTTGTGTAAGCTTTATTATACATTTAGATTTAATATAGACATTAAATTATAAATAAAATGACAAGATACACAGGCGTATCACTTGAAGGGATTTCTTTTAGTCAACCTTGAGAACCCGAAAGGAGAAAGTATCCTATAGAGTTTATACGTGAAGCATGTTTTACCCTTCGTTGATATTCGAAAAATTCTTCTACCAAAGGGTACGTTTAATTTAATAGTAGTGTAATCTAGTTTTATTTCTATTTTTCAGCAAAAAAAATCAACCCTCTAACACACGATAAGCACGGCAGGAGATATGGTGATAATGTGTCGTATGAAAATATTAATTTGGACTACATCGCACGTTTAGTAGGTGAAGGGTACCCCAAAGACATAGTTGTAAGAGCATTAGGCATCACCCGGAATGATCTGGAGATGGCCTGCGATATACTGCATGAATTTGGCTCCAAAGTAACTAACAAGTGTTGAATTGTTGTACAGTTGTATGTTGGTAAGGTGAGTGACTCGATTTTAAATGATAATCAACTGTATTCCAAATAGATAGAATAATATTCAGCATATTCAGCGGTATTCTTTCCGTATTTGTTTTACTGGATTAAGCCTTTGTATCATCATTATCGCACCCTATCCTCTGTCCAATTCAAAACATACCCATTTCATTTATCATAATCATTCATTTAAATAGTTCCAGAACCACTTGCATCAATGGACTGCTTCTAACATTTTTTGTCTCACTTTCACATACAGTTCAACTATTTACCTCTACAGATGATGCAACGAGAGTGAATTGTTCTTATCTATTATCTTTCATAACACACCTGTTTAGCCTGCACAATCTTTTACATAATACATACTGAATCCAATTTCTGCTTTTACTATATCTGTCTCATTATTGAGTAGCCTCTACTCCTTTTTTCTTACTCTCTTTCTCTCTTCCTCAACTTCATTACTGAAGGTCGTGTTTTTACCCTCTCGGAGGGCAGATGCAATTGATAGTCCCGTAACGGCGATTACTTGGTCCGACTATCGACTAGGCGATCGTCCGCGTGGTCTCTCTCAAACTTGCCTATAACTTAGCTTGTCCAGATTGTCGAACTGTTGACGAGCAATATGACCGAAGTATCCGAGAATCCTCCGATAGCAGACAGACATTTTTCTTTACATTTTCAATTTTTTCTAAACACCCTAAGACCATTCATTATTAGATCTAACTCATACAGTATTACTCATATTTGATATACAAAACTGAAATCCAGTAATATTTACAAAACTAAACATCTTGTATCAAGAAACATGGTCGTAATCTCAAAATGAAATATCTTACATAGTGGAAATTAAATCGAAGTCACTCATTTAACTAAAAAAGTAAGGTAATGGATCTATTTTTAATTACCTGATCAGGGAAACTATTTTTTTTAATATAATTTCAAATAATATTAAAACTGTATTAACTGATAGAGAGAATGCTACTAGAATTAAATCCGCCTTTTGTACCATAGTTTCTTTTGGTCACTAAAGTTATTTAAATAAATAATTAGTTTTATCAATATATAATATACTATAATACTCGAAATTTCGATTATTGTTTTGTCGAATTCTGTGACCTAATTTTTCGATTGTAGAACTCAACGAGACACTTCAACGAACTCGACGAACTTGACGAAACATCTACTATTTTGTAAGTTCAAGTTCGTTTAATCGAGTTCAATTAACTGGTATAACCCAAATGAATCATGTCGGTTATCCCTTTTTAATTTCTTTTTAGAAATTCCATGTTCAATATCTCTAATCATAGCCAATTCATTATTCATTCATTTACTATAATAGATGTTAGTTTAAATGCGTTTTTCTGATCAGGCATTTTCAAATAAGTGTTGTGATTGCGCAGGTTACTAGGCCAAAACAAATGTGTACCTTATGAACGTAATGATAAGTCTGATTTTGGCGTATTCGTTGAAATGACAAATGCTTGTCTTTATTGTTCACTGGATAAATCTGTTAAAAGTTCCATTACGGTGCCTCGTTATAGCTGATGATTTTAATTTAAAACATTATTTTGTTGGAATTCAACAAATTTGTTTTACAAACAGTAGTGTGTGATAATTACTTTGTAAGTGTAAACTGACATAATAATTACTTGAAACGCTTTATATTCGTGAATAACTATTAATTGTTGTATCAAATAAGCAGAACAGTTCCAATAACTTAGAAAATAGAGAAGAAAATTTTATAATTCTACTACCCTCATTAATTAGATTCACAAATGAATACATAACTGTCGTGTGGCTTAACCACTTTGTTTTAAATGAATGTAACATTTTAATCGGACCCAACACAAGCTGCATAATCCAAATTTTGACAAGTCATTCGGTCATACTTTGAGTAGAGATAAAATAATGTAAAATAAAATTCTAGTTAAATCTTGAAGATAGTTTTGACATTATTAAAATTGTTGGTGTGTTTTTTAAAAGTCATTTTAAAATATATGTAAATAAATTTTAGATTTCCGACTTGCAAATTTGATTATTGCCAGGGTTAAAAATTATTAGAAAAATTAATTCAATTATATTTTACCATTGTTTTCGGTATTTTTTTTTGTTGTTGTCTAAATGGAATTACAATATAAACATGGTTAAAAATACATTATAATGTGAATGTATATCGCTTACGTTTATGGTTTTTTTTTTGTATAGTTTTTGTTGAAAACATAAATTCAGAATGTAACTGAATTCTTTTCAAAACCTATCCACTTGAAGTCTGCATTTTGAAGTACACACGCAGTTGTAATAAATAGGTATGTTAAATGTAACAATGGTAATGGTTACTACCAGTTTTTAAATCAATAATTGTTAAAAACTGTTAACATTTAGAGCAGACATTAACATGAGCAATATTGGGCATAGGACAAACCAATATTTTAGCTGAGAGGTAATTTTATATATAAAATTGTTTTATAGCCCTAAAAACATTTATTAAAAATATAATTTGTTTAAATTACTCGTAATATTAGCAGGCTATTTTGTGGTCTTCCAATTTTTTTTGAATGCGATTAATTTCTTAAATTAGCTTCTTTTATAAAAGAAAAATAAAATATTAGAAAATAGTACAGAAATAATTTAAGAAAAAAGATAATTTCTCCCCGCAATTATTACAAATGTGTGCGTGCCTCTCACCAGGAATGATGGGATAAATTGATTTCTAAAAAGTGTGATAGTATTATAGATTTATAAATAAATACGACTCATAAATAATAGTTTTAAGGTACAATTTTATTATAATTTTGCTTCCACTAAACGGCGGTGCACACATGCGAGTTACGATAATCTCCAGAAAAAGAAAAAAAAATAGCAAGCAACAATTTTGTTAATAGTTTTTTTTTTCTTACATTCAAATCGCTGCGTCTATTTTTGATTAGCGTGTGTGGCCTTCGTGTAAACATTAGTTACTAGTAGTAAATATTAATTCCAGTGTTGTCTCATTTAATTTTCTATCAGTATTTATCTCTGTACTCATAAAGAGTTTTGTAAATATTTACACAATGTAAAATAAATATTACTTATATTTTCATATAAAATTGCTGTCTCAATATGTACTACTTAATATAGCGGTTCACATAGAATATATTTTTTCATATTTACGTGTATGTAAAGATACAAATTTTGACACTTCGACTTATGACTCTTTGCAATATTTAATACATATTTAGCTATTTAATATTGTTATTGTAAATATTGACATTATTATTTTTTCGAAACCGATCGTGTTATTTAGTGCTGTTTACGGTTTTTACGTTTTTGTGCGTTCAGTATGAATTTGCCCGGGAGTCTATGATGTGTATGATTTATTTTTTCTTAATATTAAAAGACCAATTAGTTTATTAAACTTTTTTATGTAAACATTCAAATATCACGTTACATTTTTAAAATTTATCTGAGCAAATTCATACAAATTAATAAATGAAACGATTAATTTTAATTTAGACAACTAGTTTTATATATCATTATTATTTTTTTTTTCTTATTAGACGAGCTTAAAATTGGCACAAAATAAAAAAAAAATCTTTTACTCCGCTATTTTTCTAATGAAACTTCTTATTGAAAGAACAATAATTTTGTAAGATCACATTATGCTTATTTACTTACCTATATATACATATTTTAACATGCTTAGCGAATACCTGACTGATTTTTAGATTATAGTTCATCTAGTCTTAATAAATCTTTGTTTTACTAACAATTCGTTTATAGATAATCCGTAAATTGTAATAACTGTAATTTTTAATATTACATTTGTAATAAAATAGTACGTAGATATTACCCACTGACTTTTAGATAATTACAAGTAATTACATATCCACCAGATTACTAGTCAATATGACTTGTATCATAAAAATCTTTGAGCTATTTGATTACAATTTTTAGATTTTTACGATACAAGTTTGCAAGTTAGTAGCTTGTAATCTTTAGACTTTATGCACTTATCGACTATATTATCAGTTGATGTAGTGTAATTTTTTAATACGTTAAGAATAAACGTTCCACATAGGCTTTTATTTTTATTATGAAATACAAAAAAAAAAAAACATTAAATCAATAATATCGATAAGTGTGTACTAGTCTTTACAGTAATACCTATATAACCAGTTGTATAAATATGATCCAATAATAAACAAAAATATATTGGCATTTTTTTTTTATTTCAATTATTGAATTTTGCTTTTTTCTATTGAAAATTGTCAGTGAAAAGTTTGAATCGTTTTGACTTTTGTCTAAAAAGACAGAAAATAATTCTACATACTTGAATATTTTAGTAGGGCGAAGTAAATTTAGTATTTTTTTTTTAATATTTCAAAAAAAGAATCACTACCCGCCATGTCAGAGTGAATAACGTAGCATGTTAGGTTTCACTCGTCTCCTACGAACACTGCACTTACTACTAGGTAGAAAGTCATATTTTGCAAAAATGAATTCTGTTCTCCATCTATAAATACTATTTTTCTTAATTTTGTTTTTCTTCGTTTTGTAAATATAAAAACATTTCAATGATAGCATTGTTATTACATAACCGTAATATATGTTAGGGGCCTTTATGTCTCGCCAGCGCCTGTTTCGGGATTTTACAACGCTTTATGGTAACCATAGAGTTCAAAATTGTCTACACCGATAACCTCTTTTGTTTCTGTAATGGGCGCATACTATATTTTCTTTTGGTCAATAATTATTAATAATTAAAAAAATATTTTGAACTAGTAACCCGCCACAGCTTCGTACACCTGGATAGGTAGAAGATTTTTTATTCAAAAAATACAGTTCATGTTACTAGCTGATGTTGTAGTGTCTTTATAGATAAAAGAATGTTTAAAATCGGTTTAAAATTTTTTGAGTTCATCCATTACAAACAAAAAATGAAATCTTTATAATAATTTCTCTTTATAATACCATAGTATCATAAAATGATAAAAATATTGAATTTTAGTTTCGTGTTTCTCAACCATCTTATTTTTAATTTAAGAATTTATTCAATAAATTTTCGAATGACCAACAAATGCAGTTTCTATTTTTATAATATTTACAACTTGTAGCAATCAGTTACTTGCAAATTGTTATACAAACATTAAGCTTCGCCCGCAGTTTCAATCTTACAGTATTGCTATTTAATTTCCATATTTTATATATATATATATATATATATATATATATATATATATATATATATATATATATATATATATATATTTAAAATTATTATTTACATTATAATATATTTAAAAAATAGTCTTGTCTTATAATTGGAACCTAAAAGACACATCATAAGAATTCATTATTTTACAATGTTTTTTTAATATAAATCATTACGTCCGTCGTCTACATTTTCCATTATGTACTGAGTTTTAAGTTATTACCTATAATAATAAACTAAACCATTATAAAATATAAAATACTTATTTTAGTACCAAAATTACATTACATTATTCCCACCATTATTGACATTCTAAGTCATAAGTTCGAGTATTCTACATCACGTTAGCATAATTAGTTCCAAAATTAAATTTCAATTAAATGAAATCTCATGGGAAATTTTACATTCATAACTAATACTTTCCATTAATATCAGAAATAAATTAATGTAAAAGATTAATGAAAGAAACTTTTCATTGACATGAATAAAAATGTAAATTAATTAAGTTTAAAAGAACATATATTCTTAAAGCAAATAGGCTGATAAATAATTCCGCAAAGTGTATCATAGTTAAATTTATGGTTAATTTTACTAATTTATAGCAAGACGTGATGGATCTTATAGTTTTGTAAAATAAATTGTCTTTTTAAAACACTTTCTTAAAGATAGTAAAATATTTACTTTAATGTTTAAATTATTTATTACAATTAAAATAGAATTAAAATATAATAATAAAATTTTATTATTTCATCTCACAAAATTTTTCGCAATAATATTAATACGCCAAAAAATATTTTACCATTTCAGTTCTTTAGAGGTATATATTATTAAAATGCACATATATAAAATAATATGTATTTTAATAAAATATATGCTTTTGTTTAAATATAATAAAAATATTGTTCAACCACTTCGTAGTGGCGTGTTTTGTGTTTAATTACTATTGTAATATTCAGTCGCAGTAAAAATGTAAAGGAACTAAATACGAAAAATATATTAAATATTAATATTGTTCATATTATAAAAATACTAATTTATTTTAATTAAATATATCGTTACAGACTTTGTGAATGACTATACGAGTATTCCATGTTTTATTTCCAAATACAGAACTATAACAATGTATTAAATGTAAGACACTACGTTACATAATTTTAATTAGTAAATTGAATTCATTCTTTTAATTTTTTATTTAATTTACTATAATTACATTTTGGAATGAGTTGGCTAATATGAATCCGTATGATCCGAAGCAAAGTTGTCGCCTTATTTTTAAGAGAGCTACTAATAAATTCAAATCTGATTTATAGAAAATCATATTAACGGACAATATACAGTTGAAATTATGGCTGCATCATAGATTTTCATTAATTTTTACTAGTGTTAGTCGGTGCCTACGTTATTATCTGGAATGATCGAACGTTGACTTTTAAGAGACAGGCAATAAGGTTGATGTCAGAAGTTGTGAATAAAATTGATGAAATTTTAAATGTAAACTTATTCAAATTGATGAAATTTTGTGATTGAAATTGATGAAATTTTAAATGTAAACTTATTTAAAATTTGAGTTACACTTATTTAATTAAAATTATGAAACTTAACAAAAACTAAACTTAATCTTCTGATATGTATCCGTTATATATTTTTGTTACTATTTCCATAATTATGTTGAAATGTTTTGGCGGATTATATTGTTTTATAATTTCAATTTTTTGTATATATTTGGTACAAATGTTAAACTACAATAAAAAAATAAAAAAACATTTGTGAATATTTGGTAATTATCCAATATTACTTTGTACATTGAAATATTATTTTTCTTTTATTTTTATAATTTCTTTAGTTCACAATCAGATGTTATATAATTTGAAAAGCTCGAATGTTATTAAATATGATTTAATATTTCGCTTGAATTATGTCTTCGGAATGTTTTGGGGAGGCTATATTGTTTTACGCTTTAGTAAATATGTTGCAAAATATATTTAAGTAAGTAAAATTTATTACGTTTTCTTTTTTCTGAATATCCATTAAATAAATTCTCCAAATAAAGTATAAAGAAGGTCGATTCTATAGATTTGACTGTACCGAATACACAAACGTGAAAAAGTTTTTAGAGCAAAAAAATTTTAGGTTACCACTTATTATCTGCTTAAAGGTAACTGGTAGGGTACCGTCGCCTATCTATCTATATATTATCAACAATTTATAAAATACACAGTAAGCATACGGTCTACAATACAACTCAAACCGAAGCAATCAGTAATGCAAATAGAATTGTAGAAATACGAGTGAGAGAAAGATACAGGCGACTTTGTAAAATCTCCCTTTGATAAAAAATTTTTATTATGTATTAAAGAAAAAAAAAAACTATACATAATAAACCACAGATATACACTAAAACTCAATCATGTATCAATAATCCTTAAAAATATTAGTTCAAACAATCTATTATAATCTTCTAATCCAATCTATTTTAAAATAAATATAATAAAAAGATAATAACTTGAAAAGTTTCAGTTATTAATTTTTTATAGTTTTATTCAAACATTTTCTTATATAATTTTTAATTAAAAACACTACTAATCATTTGATCATTTATTATCGTCATCGACTCTACGTTGTAATAATTTTCCAGTCGTTATTGATTTCTTGAAGTATGGTTAACTTTTCTGAACCATTTTATATATACTTTATTATGATTCAGGTAAATTGTTTATATTTGTATTGTTCAATGATAAGTAGCAAATCTTTAAGTTTAAGTTATAAATAAATTAAAATTACAATTAAATTGAACTAAATATTAATTAAAATAAATAAGAATTAAATATATTAATGTCTAATACTAATTATTTTTATTTATTTGTAGTTTCATTAAAATAATAAAATTAAGAAAGAAATAATTTAAAAGATATTATTTTATTTCAGATAAATACTATTTTTTCACAATTTCTCAATCATGTAGACTTACAAAAAGTGGGCGAAGTTGCACTTAACAAAGATAAATTTAATGTTTTAAAACCAACACTACACGTAGTTTCCGATTATTTCAAGGATTTTATGATGAGGAGTGAAAATGAACATTTTCCATCTAAAAGAGTTTTCATTGATAAGAACGGGTTCAGACATTTTTGGAGCGTACTTGGTGATAATGATAAAAGCCACAGAAAGACTGATACTAAGGAGAATTTGATAAATTACAATACTAAAGCAACGAATAATGATGTAGGGAAAACTGCCAACAAAACAGATATAACAAATAATTCAAATGTTAAGAAAAAACCTAAAAGAAAAAAGGAAGTAAATGATGATGACGATAAATTGCTCAGACAAAGTACTAGTAATAAAACAGTTGCTAAGACTTCATTCTTTTGTCCTTTCTTTGGAATTATAACAATGACTGCATTTGTAGATTAATTATATTAGTTAAATATTAAAAATGTGGTTTATATATTTAATCAGTATCATAATTACTTATACTAATTCATAGATGAATGAAAAATATATATTTCAGTAAATATTTGTAGTTCCTTTTTTTACATTGACGAATAATAATTTATGAAAGTCAGTTATTTTAAATGTATCAATTTATCGATATTCATTTTCCAATTTTTTCTTATCATCTCCGTTCTTGAACCTCCTATTGAATCTTCTTGTCATGTAAGGATCATTGTTTTCTTCGTCAACTTTGTATTCATTGAATGTATTCATAAAACCATTCACTGCTGATTTAATAGCTCTTCTGTAACTAATTACTGGCATTTTCTCCCTTAATATTACTACAGGCTCAAAAGGAATCACCATACCTGCAGCAGTTGCTATTAAAGGCATTAGTGGTGTTGGAAAATAATAAGACATTATCTCCATAGCTCCATTTACAATACAGGTTCCTATATTTCTTACTACAGTATTTATTTTAGGTGTTGACATAAATTTCCTTATTGGAATCATTATTGTGGTATATAATTTAGTTACAAAAGCTTGTGGTTTCTCTACTTCTGTGGTATTGCTTTCAATAAATTTTACATCATTTATTATTTCATTATCTTCGACATTATGTGTCTTTGTATTGTTTTCGATAGAATCTGGTTTAGTTGTATTTTCATATTGATCGTTTATTTTTGGCTGTTGTGGCTAATAAAGGATGTTTAGTTTAATTTTTGTATTAATATTTTAAATTATTGAAAATAATAAAATTATTAGAAATATCTTAAATGATTTAAAATTGGAGTTTAAGTTTAACTAAGTGTATATTCATAGTTTGTTTTTGGAACATTTTTCATATAAATAGGAATAGGCCAAAATTATATACTAAATAAAATTTTAATTAGAAGATTAATAATTTATTGTGTGTATGTATATTAATTTTTTTTGTTAATTAATATTAATTAACAAAAAAAAATTATAGAAGTAATTTCTTTTTGAGAAATTGTAAATGTAATGTATTTGTAATCATAAAATGATAACAAATTAAAGAAAGAAAGAAATATATATTCAGTGCTTAATTTCACATTAAAAGCACCTAATAATAAAAATGTTTGACAAGAAACAAAAATAATGAAAAGAAGCACTAAAATGTCACTCAGCTATATGCCATGTTCTTTCGAACATGACACTTATTTTCAGTGTTTTAATGATTTTAATAAGCACAGGATCTAAGAATGAATTACAATACTTACCGCTCCAAAAATATAGCTTATAAACGAAACAAAAACAAAGTAAAATAAATTTACGTTAAATGACATTGCAAGTAAAATAAATATATTTTATTGAATTTAATACATTAAACAGGTAACAAATATAAAACCCTTTAAACATAAAGAAATATATGAGTATATTACTTTATACAAACTAGAATTGGATCAGACTTTATCAACATTTAAGGTTTATTTTTTTCTAAATTGAAAAAAAAATTTAACACCTTGACAGTCCACCTAGTGGAATGTGGTAACAGTCCCATACATATCTGTCACGCCTGTCTCCCATTATGGGAGGCAGAAACAATGGAACGCCAAATGCTTCGATTCACTATAACCATAAACAGCCGGGGGGAAAGGGGTGGCTAGCAATAGAGTTTGACAGCCCCTTTGCTAGCCCTATCAGGTCGACCTCCACGTGGTTCCCGCTGGAAACCATCGTGAACAATTCTTGTTAAATTCGTCACGATGCGCTAACTGACCTGCTTTTATCGTCACCTATCATCCTTCACTGGTGCCCCGCCGGTGTATACTGATAGCGCGGTTGGGGTTACCATTCCATTATATATATATATATATATATATATATAATAACTATGATACTCTGTCTTTAAAAATTTTCACCTTTCAGTATAATGTCATTAGAATATAGATAGAAAGTCATTCGAAATGATATGCCAATAGTTGCTACGCTTGTTAAACAAATTGACAATCGCAGTTAGAATTTAGTCTTTAAACGTCGACACTGTTACCCATACCTCGACTATCATATTCCTTTAGTCGCCACTTACGATACCCATGGGAAATGTACGTATTAATACATATTAAAAGTATATAATTAAAACAAATTATTGAAATAAATCGGTTTCAGTGACTACAGCAGACCAGTCCCTACAGGCAGCACCCGTTCACGAGTATGACGGACGACCCATCCATCTATAGTCTTTCTCAGTCTATTGCTAAATCTGTTACTATATCTGTGTATATAATCAGGGTATGATGATATCAACCCTTAACTGTCCATTGCTAAGCATAGGCCTCTCCCTGTTGAGGGGGTTTGCCAGTAGTTGCCATGCTTGGCAAACAGGTTGGCAGCTAGACTTTTGGTGATGTTTTAAGACGGACTCTGCTGCCCATCCCTTGATTGTAAGTTTTCTTAGTCGCCTCTTACAACACCCATGGCAAAATTAGGGGCTGCTCATTTTATGTCAGGACCTACAGGGCTATAAATATATACCATGCTTTATTTCAAGCAACACTGCTTTGGAATTAATATAAAGATTAAAACGCCCGACTAATTTCCAATGCAACGGTTTTAATTAGAAATTAATCAACATTCACCAAGTCTTAGCTCTGTCTATAAAATGTACGCTTGGTGTTACGATAACGGCGTAAAGCTACTATAAAACCATAAAGAAATATACTGTTAAAATGCATACCTTTTACTTATTCATTCTGCTGTCAATTGTGATCGTAAACTCTTTACCGCAGGTAAGTAATACTGTCTACCCATAATATGAGGTAATTTATTCAAGTATACATCCCAATTTATCCCAAAAATTTCACCGTGTAGGTTCCGACATATGGTAGAATGGGCCACCCCTTCCTTTTTCGTTGGTGTCGTAGGAGGCGACTAGAGGAGCTTATGTTCGTGAGATGGTCAGCAGCGTCCCTTTTATAACATCAGCCTGATTATATCAAGGCCTGACTGCGGTTGCCAACCCGTCGGCCAAGCGTGGCGACTACTGGCATAACTCTTCTCCGTTATGGGGAAGGTTTATGTTCAGCAGTACACACCTCACTCTCTGTTACTTTTGTACAAAGTACTACTAACTTAAAATCTAGTGTGCGTTTTATTACGATATACCATCGAAATGTAGTTACTTCCAAGATCCATGCATACGAAGGTGCGAGCAAAGCTAGTAACTTATAGAAAAACACCCACTACTGTAGTTCCTGATCAGGTAGTCAGCAGAGCTTGTTGAATTACAACGTGACAAGGGTCAAATTTACTGTCAATTCTAGAAACAAATAATACCTACACTTAGAAGACAAATGTGCTAGATATTATTTTTTTTTTTTTTTACAACACAGGGGGCAAACGAGCATGCGGCTCACCTGATGGTAAGTGACTACCGCCGCCCATGATCACCCACAACACCTACGGCATTGCAGGTGTGCTGCCGGCCTTTTAAAAAGGAATATGCTCTTTTCTTGAAGGTTATGTTGTCGTATCGGTTCGGAAATACTGCTGCTGGAAGTTGATTCCAAAGAGTGGTTGTGCGTGGGAGAAAGTGCCTTGAAAAACGCACGGTGGAGGACCGCCACTTGTCCAGATGGTTGGGATGAAATTTTAGTTTATGGCGGGTTGTACGATGGTGAAAATCTGCAGCAGGTATCAATCCGAACAATTCTTCAGAGCACTCCCCATGATAAATTCGGTAGAAAATGCACAGAGATGCAACATCTCTACGCAGTTCCAGTGGGTCGAGCCGGACAGTAAGACGCCGATCGTCAACAATTCGAGCTAGTTATTAATCGATGATGCACAGGTTTTTAAATATTCAACTACCATATTATTTGAGACAGAATACATTGAAATAAATATACATAATATTAACAGATCCTCTAGACAAATGGCAAGCAAATCCATCGTCATCGCAAGTGAGTCTGTTAGTTGGAATGAGACATCAAACGTTGCTATCTCATTCCATTTCATGGAATTGCTGACGATGACGATTCTATCGGTAGATTCGTTTGCCTACCTAATTAAAAGTTAATTTTTATTGTAATTGGTTTTTATTAATAGTATTTTCCATTACAGGATACTTAGTAGGTTTAATTTATTTCTTCCAGGTACCCTACGATTACACACCAATCGGTCGGAACGCCAGAAAACTATTCGGACATGCACCTCATCCCTCCGATGTCAATTTAAATTATGAGAGACTCTTTCCATCCAGACGCAAATGGAATACTTAATTAAACACTTATTAAATAAATTATTTACTTTATCATTATTATTAGAGCCTACCCATTTTTTTTAATGAATGAAATTACAATGATAACTACGCCTGCGTAATGGTATAGGTACGTTGGCATACACCAGTGAGAAATTATAGGTGAGGATGAAAGGCAGGTTTCCAGGATGGACCACGTGAATGTTGACTGATAATCCACATTGCTAACAATCTCTTGGCCCAATAACCTACCCCCCACAGCCTACCCATTGAGGGAAGAGGGATTGTTACTGATGAGGATTAGGACCCAATTTCTAGTAATACTTGGTACATTGTTAGCAAATCAAATCAACGAAAAGTGGCAACTGTCGCTTATATGTATGAACAGCATCATGGACAGTACCGAATGCACGTTCTCCTATAACCTCTAATTACAGGTTAATTAATAAAAATTTCGCCACAAAACAAACTTTGCTTCAAACCAAGATTTGAAAACTGTAATGAAAATTCGCTGTTTGGGTGCGAACGGTTAAAACTAGGCTCTGAACAGCGATCTAATAATTGCTATAAGATGTCTCGTTTAGAGCTAAAACACGTGTTACAAAACGTGCGTGAACGAAATGGCAGTTGGAGATTGATGGCTAATATGGCAAATTGTGGAACTTCTGGTAATAATAGTGGTGGTCAATCTTCGAGTGATGGCAGTCACATACATACTAATGATAGTGGAATTGAACAATATAATAATAATAATAAAAAAATAATAAATACTAATCAAATAACCAGTGATATGAACTCCTGCAAGATAACACCTAGTTCAGTACAATAAAAAACACATTAACAAAAGCACGCTTCACCTTTAATATATTACATAAATACAAAAGTCAAGTAATCAATTAGCTCCATTCCTTTACACATATTGTCACTGAGTTATATTTAGTTAGTGGGAGTTTTCAAGCTAAATGTAAATCCAAAATTATTAGTACACGATAGTTTGATTTAGTTGTGGTCGCTGGCTCTGAGCAGGGAGGCTACCATCTCATTCAAATTGACATTAGATGGTATAGGGGCTGCCAGTTCTGCGTATTTGCTGGTGAAATCGCCGCGTCCCGTAGCATCCTGGTCGTCCGCGTGAACCTGGAATATTTTCCAGGGCAAATGAATAAAACATTGTAGGTATATTTTTAAGGGATAAATACGGATTGGTGACCCGTTTTCGCCTTTGATGTACGCTAGCAGGGTAACAGTAAGTAATGACAGGTGAGGATGAAGTCAGATCAGGTCAGCTGGCGCATCGTGGTGGTGAATGGTTTATGGAAGTCGACTCTATTGCTAATGATCCTCTTCTGTCTCTTTACATTATATTTTACATGGATTTTTTTTTGATAGGCGAAAATCGAATGTTAACTTCGCCAGCGTTATCGGTGTACACTGGTGAGGCACTTGTGAGTGATGATAGATGGAGATGAAGCTATTCAATATGCCCTTCGTGATAAATTCATCAAAAAATAACTACGATCGTTGCTAAATAACCTTGTGATCCCGGCATTAAACAGGCCACCCCTTCCTATCCCGTAGGCGTCATAAAATTACAAATGTAATGGTATTCATATCAGTCGTAGGCCTTCCTCATAAGGGAAGTTTTGCAAGTAGTTCATATTTTTTTTATACAACTTAGAATGGCAAACAAGCTGACGGCCCACCTGATGGAAAGTGGTAACCGTCGCCTATAGACATGAGCAGTACCATGGACATAACAGAGTATACTGTTTCGCCCATGATTTTGCTAGCAATGGGACTGGTAGCCCGCATTACTGTATTACAATATTAGAATATGCTAGATTTTTCCTAAATGTTTACTTATTATTATTCGTCAATATACATTATTCTTATTTAAAAATTTCAGATAGGATATTATTAATAATAAAATCAGATATTAAATAAATATTTGACAGTAAAAAAAAATATAATTACCACAACGTGGAACAGCAATGCAACCAACATCCCAGCGATCAGTAACCACTTCATGGTTGCGATCACGATCTCTCCTCTTGTGACCATTAACAATACCAAGAACGTAATTTATATACCAAACGACTTGAATACCGTGACTTGGCACGTAGTCACTTACGTGGACTTTAATATTTGATTAATTTTCACACTTGATACGTTGTGACGAATCGATCTGACATGAGTTTTGTTAATTAAGTTATGAATCATATTAACACTAAGAAATATGTTGCAATGTAATTTTTCTACGCACCACTATTTTATTTTATTATATCTTGGAATAATCACATTTAAAATCAAATCATTTTTATTCAAATAAACTTATTTACAATGACTTTTAAATCGTAATTTCTCTTAAATCTACTGCAAGGTTCGGAAAGTTGTTATCTACTGAGAAGAGCCCGCATGAAACTCGACAGTTACTCTTTTAAATCTCTTTTAACATATATATAATATAGTACACATATATTTATTTAAATGTACATACTATATCTAACATGGTTATTAGAAAGCTCGTGCATGATCGACTAATATCATGCACATTTGTCATTCCAGTAATCGTTTAGCTTTGTTCAAAAAGTGTTTATTAATATATTTTTTTTATTTAATAAAAGGTAGATCTGAGGGATTTGGTTCAAACGTTGTATCACTGTACGTAAAGACTCCAAGGTTTTCAAATTACGCATTACAAATTTGCCATTCATCGATCAATAATTTATTTGCATTAATTTTTTTTTTTTGATGTGTGAAAATGGTATGGTAACCCCGCCTGCGCTAACGGGATACGCTGGCGGAGCACCAGTGAAGGATGATAGATGAGAATGAAAACAGGCCAGTTAGCCCATCATGATGAATTCATCAGGAATTAACCATGATAGTTTCCAGAGAGAACCGCGAGGAGGTCAACCTGGTTGGGTATATTGCTAGCAATGGGATTCTCAGTATCCATTACTAACAATCCCTTTCCCCCCAAAATTTGCATTAATGTTATGTGCCATTATAAATTGTATTTTCATCTATGCGTTGATTCTAACCAAAAATATTGATTTTACTAAACGGGGTTAATAAAGTACAAGACCAAAACATTGTTGGGAGAAAAAATCTCTTTTATTTATTTATTATTTACTCTTTATTGTACTACTTAAAGAATAATACAAAGAGATGTCTATATATTACACTTATAATGTACTTATGAGTGCGATCTTATCGCTAAAGCAGCCAACACTTGGGTAGAGGAGAGAGCAAAAATACGGTACCTATTTGCTATTCATTAGCTATTATAAAACATAATAAATCTCGAGCACGTAAAGAACTATTTCGACAATGATCGATATCACCAAAACAACACAAGTTGCTATCCGGCTGTACTTCTTCACAATTTGAATGCTGCTTGGTTGTTCTAGAGGTATATAGGAACGACGGTATCGCATAGGCAGTAAAGTTTTCCATGGAATATTCTGGGGAAATAAATGAATGTGTTTTTAGTGCTCGTATATAAATCGTCTGCTTGGGCACTGTTCCACTCGTATTTCTATCGGAAAATAGCTGCGTTTCCATGTTTATCATCATTATCAACTGAACATAAGCCTACCCCACTGTAATAAGGAACTAGGTCGTTCTTCACGACAGTTTTCCATTAGAGGAATTTTGTCAATAGTTGCCATGCTTGGCAGGTGGGTTTGCCACCGCAATTGGGATTTGGTGATATTTTGAGAGGGACGCTACTGTCCACCCCTCAAACATTTAGTTCCCTTGGTCTCCTCTTACGACAAACACGGGAATGGAAGGGGTAGCCCATTCTGTGCCGGAAGAACACGGCTCTTGTGTTTAGCGACGGTTACTACTTTCCATTGGGCGGGCTACTGGCTTGTTTGACATTCTCATGAAAAACTTTATTAAGATTAGAAACTAGTTAGTAATTTTATGTATATGAAGTTTGTGTTAGTCATTACATTAATTCGCTTGGTTTTTGTGCATTCAACTTTTGTTTTCAAAAGTTTTTTTTTGTAAAAAGCAACAACTGAGTTTCTTTCCAGTTCATCTCAGCAACATAGTATTTCTAACTGAACGTTAGATTCATAAAAAATTACTATTCAAAAATGCTTAACATTAACTTTGTTTAAATCAAAAATATTATTTTCTATTTTAAAAACATGTCTTTTTCCGTATTGTGTCTATGCAGTGGACTTCAAACAATTTTTTTCTATAATAAATATACCAAAATTTACGTACATGCTGTGCTGCTTTCTCAGGAACGAATGCTGGATTCAATTCTTGTGGTAAAAGGGCTGACTGCAAGTCAGCGTCATATTGCAACTTCTAAAAATGTGTAGTTGTTTCAAGGAAATAAATAACAACTACCTTGATTACTCATATATAATGAAAGAATCGCTGTCATGTCTGTACGTCCAGTCCGAAAGATAGAAAGAGGTGAAATATCTATGTACAATTAAATTAACCTATTTGATGGAAAAGAAAGTAATGATGTTGACAAGTGACTATAAGATGAATATTTACAATATTTATTTACAGACGCCACAAATGAATGGAATTTAATTATAATCTAATAGTGGTATTATGGTTATTTGGGCAACATTCGAATGTCTTGATAGATCTGGCGATAATGATCTTGTTGTTGCTAGTGATCTTTTTAAGCTAAAACTATTTTCCTTAGCGAATGTTAGTGTAAAAGAATGGCATGCATAAGTGGGCATTCTTTACGATAATTATGATTCTTTTATATACATTTGGACGTAGATCATCAGTTAATTTTAATATATCTATAACAGTCGAATCATCCAAATGGTTTTTTTTTTTTTTACTTTTGTCTAGCTGTCTACTTTGAATCAGTAAAAATACTATCTTAAAATGATAGTTCTAATATTTTTATTCTTTTGTAATTAGAAAGCCTTGACCGATCAAGAAATATAAATGTGTTATGTTATTACGATTCTACTAATGGAAGTATGTGCATTTTCTCTAAGGCTTTTATACTTACATTGTTATGCGCAAATGCAGTTATAAAAAATAATAATAAAGTAACAATCCTAAACATTTTATATATGTTTAGTCACAAAGGCGATAGCAAATCAATATTTCATCACAAATATATATATTGTTTATTAAATTTCGAAATAAAACCATATATTTTTATTATCAATTTATTACATATTTATTATTTCTATGAATTCAATAAAAATCATGTAATAATGATTTGGAAAGTAGAAGAGAAATGTGATTCGTAATGCAGTATCAAATAATTTTTTGTTCAATTCTAATTGGCGTGGTAAATGGTCTTTTAAAATTCGAAGTAAGTCCAGGTTCTTGTGATAAAAAAGTTGCTAACAAAATTTGGGAGCATATTTATTAACACATAAAATAATCAGAGATGGATTTAGATGATATCTTTCACAATATAAATTTATAATTTCATGGAGAAGACCTGCTGCTTCTTGGGCTTTGTTTTTCTTCTTCTTCTCTCTTCCTAACTAACTAATTAACTAGGTATAAGGGACTTTTTTAAATGGAGACAATAGAATGGTGACCTCACCTACTCTATCGGTATACACAGGCGGGGTATCAGTGTGAGGTGATTGATGAGAATGAAAAGGGCGATGGGCTAACTGACCTGCAGTTAGCCCATCGTGATAAACTGAATTGGAATTAAGCACGATGGTTTCCAGAAAGAAACCACGTGGCAGTTAACCTAACAGGACATATTGCCAGTAATCTTCATTACTAACAATCCCCTTCTCCCTGGTCAGGTCGATCATGTAGTCTCTGAAACCATTGTAGTTAATTCTAGTAAATTTGCTACGATGAACAAGCTTTTCCAACATCATCCTCACTATTGCTCTGGCGTCCCTCTTTTTACAACCGATTTTAAGAAAAGTGTCTCAATTCGATGGTATTTTTTTAATGTTTGTTACCTCATAACTCCATCAGTTATAAACCGGTTTGGATTGTTTTTTGTTTTATCTGGAATGAATTTTATATAAAATTTTATCATTATCATTCCCATAGAAATCTTATTATAATCGGTTCAGTAATTTATTTATTTTTTATTTATTTATTTACACTTTATTGCACCAAGTAAAAAGAGAAATAACAAATACAGTAAATATTAATGAGAAGTGATACAAAAGGCGGCCTTATCGCTAAGCAATCTCTTCCAGACAACCTTTGGGTAGAGGACATTGAGAAAAAGACAAAGAGTAGGTGGCGCACTATTATATAAATATTATCATATACAAACATATATAGATACATATATACATATATACACATACATATATAATATATACACAATTAAATATATACATAACATACATACATACATACACATACATATATAATATATACACAATTAAATATATACATAACATACACATACTTAACAGCATTCATACAACAGAAAAAAATGACGAAGGAAAACGAAGAGAGAACGCAGGAAAATAGTACTAAAGTGAGAGGTAGTAAGATTTAACAGAGGTTTTGAAGCTAGTAAGAGTTTGAGCGCATCGAATAGAGGTAGGTAGTGAGTTCCATAGACGAACTGCCTGAACAGTAAAGGATTTAGAATAAAAGGAAGAAGAATGAGTGGGAAATTTAAGTCGGAGGTTATTGACACTGCGTAAAGTATGATCATTAGCCTCACTGAGAAACAAGAATCGGTCTTTTAGATAATCAGGAGCAGCAGGATTAAAAAGGATTGTGTAAAGAAGAGACAGGATATGCAGATTACGACGAAAACGGATAGGGAGCCACTTGAGTTGAGTACGAAATTGAGAAATGTGATCATATTTGCGAAGACCAAATATGAAGCGGATACATAAATTTTGGAGACGCTCAAGCTTGTTTAATTGCTCTTCGGTGAGGTCTAAATAACATGAGTCGGCATAATCAAGAATGGGTAGGAGTAAGGTGTGTGCGAGCGCAATTTTGGTGTTAACTGGGAGGAAATTACGTAGTCTATTTAAGGCAAAAGTTGCAGCAAACATTTTTTTACTGACCTCCGAGATTTGTGGAGACCATGACAAAGTGTTATCAAAAATAATGCCAAGATTTTTTACTTTTTTCTGGTAATCTATAATAACCCCATCAAAAACCACAGGCGGAAGACTGGTCGAGGAAATTTTGGAAATAAGTATGGGACTCCCAATAATAATGGCTTGTGTCTTCAAGGGGTTTATAACAAGACCATGAGATTTACTCCAGGCAGATATACGTTCCAGATCGGCGTTAACAATAGATATTGCTAAAGAGATATCAACCAGAGGGGCTAAAGAGTAAATCTGTAAATCATCTGCATAAAGGTGGTAGGAAGATTGAAGTAATTATTTTGAAAGAATTTAATTTTTAAACCAAACTAATTGACTTTGCCACTTCGATAGTAGCAAAATCAATTAGTTTGGTTAATTAGTAGATTTTTTAATAGAACATCTTCATCTCATATTATGTACCGTTAATCCTCACAAACCTCTCCCCACCCCGTCTTCCCTAGAAAAAGTCACGCTTAATTACTCTTGAAGTCGCCACGATAACCCAGCAGATCAGACATTATCCTCATGATTTCATTCTCCACTGATGCCCCGCCATTGTATACCGTTAGCAAAGACGAGTACAGTATATCTTCATCCAGTAAAAGAATTGTAGATGCAATAACTAATTATTAACTTTTGCAGCCCACAAAGTATTTGGCAAGACATAAAAGAGATGTAGTAGGAGCCTTAGATATACATACGAATCACGTCCAACCAATCCATGCTGACGTGAAGACAGAAAAAGATGACAATACAAAGGTAATTAGGTAACTAAAGATAACTACTCATCACATGTTATATACTCGCTTTAGAGATATTTTAAACCTTATGGGACATGCAGAAATAACTGGACATATCCGGGTTTAGTAAAATATCCCCAAAAATGTAAATTAAAATCTCATCTTATTCTTCTATAATTTACAAAATAGAAATTTTGTAGTTAGAAGACTTAAAACTGAGTTATTGAGTGGAACAGGTCAGTTAGCCTATCGTGATAATCATGATCATGCACCTGGAATTCTGGACGAATATTTCCACGTGGTCCCGCGTGGAGGTCAATCTGACAGAGTATATTGCTAGCAACAGGAGTACGAATTACTAACATCCTTCCCTCTCCCCAAACGACTTGACTTATTGTCATGAAAGGTATGCAAGAAGTATTTGAGATATTGAAAGACATAGCCATTTATCATGGTCAATCATAGGTCGATCATGGACGGACTCGCGGTTAAAAATGAATACAAATCTACCAGAGCCATAGATCCATCATTAAGGGATATATTAATTAGGGATGACCCTCCTTACAGAAGTAACGATATAAACAAAATGATTTTGCAGCCATGCCCAACAAATCCAATTGTCCCTCCCATGATCGAGTTGGGAACAGTTTTTCAGGTTGGTTATTAGGTCAATGTTTAATTTAAGAGTTAACTCTTAGCAATAAAATATATATGTTTCATAATTAAAGATTGTGTCCCAAATAGAAAAAAAACTATTTCAATTGTATCAAAACCAGTTATTTTGGTGTACGACTTTGATCAAATTTCTATTAGACCGCTCTATATGTATATCCTTCCAAATAAAGAAAGAATGTTCCAAATCAGTCTATATCTGACAGGAGTTATGAAGTACTAAACGTTAAAAAGTACAATCGAATTGAAAACCTTCTTTTTGAAGTCGGTTGGTAACCAAATAGGTACTTCATCTCGATATGCATCGTCAAATCAAATCACAAATTAAATCTAATTCTCCATCATGAACGACCACAACAAAAAGTACTGAGTCGCTATCATAGTCCTCCTGCTGTAAATTTGTAGTCTGCATAACATGACCAATCCAACGGAACCTCAACTAGTGTGACACAATCACACCGATGGGAATATGAGGGATGCGCAGTAGCGTCCCACTTAAAACATCATCAAAGCCTAACTATAGTTGCTTACCCGCCTGCCAAGCGTGGCAACTACTGTCAATACTCTCCTAATATTGGAGGACCTATGTTTAGTCGTGGACAGTTAACGACTGGTATATGATGCTGAACTACACCAAACTTACTTGGTGCTCTCAGGATCTACTCTATGTTTTGAGGAATCAGATGAGAAACAATTTGGGGGCACAACTCAGAACATCTAGATCCGAGCCTATTCAGAAAATTCCTCTTCTAAATACTGATCTATTTAGGAGAGGAACTTAACCGAGAATCAAATTCGCAACCTCTATATGCGAAGCATCGTGCTACAATTATACCACAGAGGACATCAATCGCAATAATCGTCATCGTATTGAAATAGTCATTTCGATTCTATAAAGGCGTGCTGGAAATCTAGAGTTAAGGTTAGAGTGAGCTTTAGATAAACTTCAGAGGGCGCTGAAGTATTCTTTAGCATAAAGTTAAGTAGCCTATACTCAAATGCAGCCCAATACTTGTACACGTAATATTTGAGATGAAGAGAGATATAAACTGGTTTTAATGCCAGTTAATCAATATCCCGGTTATATGGAAAAAATTGAACACCGCAGTACAGTGTGATTTCATCCTCGTCATATCAGCTGTTAACTGCCTATAGAGTTCTTCCTGTTTTTTTTCGGGGGGTAGAGGGGAGATTGATAGTTACCACGGTTGGCAGGCGGGTTGGCAACCGCTGAGCTAAGCTATTGTGATGTTTAAACAGGCACGCTGCTGCCCATTAAGTTTGTTAGTAATTTAAATAATTAAACAAATAAGCAAATAAATACATAAATAAATAAACAAATAAGTAAATAAATAAAAAATAAATAAGTAAATGAGTAAGTAAATAAAATTAAATAAGTAAATAAACGAGCAAGTAAGCAAGTAAATAAGCGAGCAGACAAATAAACAGGCAAGTAAATATGCAAGTAATCAGGCAAGTAAATAGGCAAGTGAATATGCAAGTAATGCAAGTAAATATGCAAGTAATCGAACAAGTAAACAGGCAAGTAAATAAGCAAGTAAACAGGCAAGTAAATAAGTAAACGAGCAAATGATTAATAATTCATAAAATTCTATTAAAATGGACTTTTTTTCAGGTCATTCCACCAATAGATGTACAACATATAGACAGGTCTTTGCAGAAATCCTTACCCATAACGGATACAATAGATCTTGTGCGAAGCATCAGTAGGGTGACAACACTATTCGTACTGCTTACTTCTGCTATAATCGAGTTCTTTCCTCTGATACAACAATTGTTTTTAACTATTTACAGTTATGTCTACACGGGTTAATAAAGCATAGATAAATTCATAAACTTTTATTGAGACAAACAATAGCTATTTCCCTGTTAATACCATGTTAATTTTGATAAATGAGACAAAGTTAAATTAAATAGACAGAGCCTCAAAAACGGGTCAACTTTTTATCAGCTAATTGTCAAATTAGCCGACTCGTATATAATCGTATAATCTGAATCTCTGAAACGGCTCCAACGATTTTCATGAAAAGTATGCAGGGGGTTTCAAGGGCTAGCTAGGTTTCATTTTTAGAAAACATTGTTTTTTATTATCCGTGTTTTCAGGCAAAGAAAAATTGCTACAATGTTTTATTAAACATTCGTTTGTTTTAAAACTTTATTGTAAAGTTTTAAATTACAAGATACAGAGTTTTCGAGAAAAGACTGAGTACAATGGTGGACTTAACCCATAAAAGCGATTTCTTACAGTTAACCTTTGTATCTCTGACAGAAATCGTTTTTTTTGAACTAGTTTTTTTATAGTACTCAATTTTTGTATGCTAGTAGTCGCTCGCATACTAATAGTAGCGAGATTAAATGAAATGTATTTAATCAACTAACAGGCTAATATTTTACATTCATCGTGTCTGCTAGATTAAGTTTTAATTACTTCTCGGTAATCCTAGTGGAAGAGTTAATACTCCTGGTATTAATAATTCTGGGAACAAGTATATTTGCATTCTACAGAGGGGTTAAGGTCAATGTCACTGTACATTGTAGTATCCTCTCTTAATCAACCGACTTAATAAAAGTGTAGTGTTTTTTTTATGTTCATTCACCTATAATTTATAAATTACGTCAGTTATAAACCAATTTAGATAATCGTTTTCTTATCTGACAGGATATAGAAGTACTTTCAGATTCATCTCATAAAATTTTTATCAAAATCGGTTTAGTTGTACAGTTTTTAAATAAAATAACTTGTTCTGCTTAATAACAGAAAGCGGTTCTTTTTTGTGGAAAAAAATAATGTTAAATTATTTATCAGAGAGTCTTGTCTGTACATATGTCATAAATATAAATGTAAAATGTACATGCTTTTGGAGTGCCAACTAATAGTTGTTCGTGCACTTCAGCTGCCCGCTAAAGACATAGCACCTGAGTCCTGAGGAATGGCAACACATGGGGGGTGTATCATGGGCGCAACAGTATACTCTGTTATGTCCATGGTACTGCTCATGTCTATAGGCGACGGTTACCACTTTCCATCAGATGGGCCGTCAGCTTGTTTGCCATAAGTTGTATAAAATATATATATATATTTAACAATATTATATATTAACTAATTGTGAAATTAGCTTACTCATTTTTTTATCAGTATTCTATATACTTACGCATAAAATATGTATCTTGACGTATTACTTAATAAATAAAATGAGTGTTTACACATTAAAAAGTCGCAGAATTTATAAGAGAAAAGAAATATAGTAGCTATAAAGGAGTCACTCATAACTATTTATCACGCAAAATTGTATGAAAAAGTTGACCCGCTTTTCTCGAAGCATTTCTATGGAGACACTCTATCTGTATAATTTAAGAGCCTAGAGAGTTACTCGCTATATTATTAGTTTTATATAGGTAAAAGATTTTTTGAATACACTGAGTAGTTTTTGAGTCCACTATTAATCCACTACAAACAAATAATAAAATCTTTTCTCTTTATAATTAAATAAATAATAATAAATATATATATTTTCTCTTCAAAATTCATCACAGTGAAATACAATGAGACATGCTTATATTAAAGTAATCAAATTATAAATATAATTGTGAGAGACTGGTGCCTGAGATAGGTATAGGAATACGTGCGTGCGTGCGTGCGTGCGTGTGTGCGTGCGTGCGTGCGTATGCATGCGTGTGTGCGTGAGTGCGTGAGTGCATGCGTGCGTGCGTGTGTGCGTGTGTGCGTGCGTGCTTGCATGTGTGTGTGCGTGCGTGTGCGTATAGATAGATGTATCGTTCACCTGTACCAACAGATGGGTCTTCAATCTATTTACCATTATATATTTTATGTATATATATATATATATATATATACATAAAAATTCATAACCTTAGTACAAAAATCTCTTATGGTTTCTTCTTATACAAGACAGACATTTATATGAAATCAATATTCATTGACTGCACAGAGGAAATGCTTTTGAATATTCAATACATTGTTATTACTTACATTGTTTTGAAATTCTTGCAACAATACAGATATATGGGAATATTATATTTTCAAATAATATAATATACTACTACAGAAACATCCACTTAACAACAACTTAAAGGACGAGGGACGGGTAGCGGCGTTCCGCTTAAAACTTCACCAGAGACTTACTGCGGCTGCCAACCCGCCTGTCATGCTTGGCAATTACTGGCAAACCACTCCCTTATGGGATGAAAGACCTATGTTCAGCAGTGGACGGCTAACGGCTAATATAATGATGATGATGATGATGATGATGATGATAAATTTGGTCCTCAGACAACTATTGGAATAAAATCCAAGATAAATTAACAAACGCATTAAGTAATTTATGCAGTCCGATAAAATATCACTGGTCTTAATACAAATTGCGTTCGAATCTAACACTTAAAAATATTAAAGATGACCTACCAGAAAATAAAAGTTGTCGCCTGCAGCTTAGTCTGTAAATCTGCATATAAAAAAAATTTTGTACTAAGTTAGAATATAACCTATATGTGTACTAAATTTCATTCAAATCCGTTCAGTAGATTTTGTGTGAAAGAGTAATAAACATTCATCTGTTTACAAAATTTCGCATTTATTATATTAATAGGATATAAATAGATTGTCTCTAGAAATGCTTACAACAAAGACGGCTTTATAAATGAACAAGTGTTTAAAAATATTTTTAGATGAGGTTTTATAATGTAATCCGCCATCTTGTGCTGCGGCCATTTCAAAATGAAATCATTTATTCTATCGTTACTTACACTTCGAGCTTTTTCATTCGATCCGCATATTAATAGAGTTGATAAAAGTATCCATTATCCGCCATTGTGTTGTCATGGCGGCCATTTTGAAAATATTTCAATTTTAGTATTGCAACCAGAACTAAAGATGGATAAAAAATTTATTCGCTTATTATTATGTACTTACTTACTTAGTTCATTACTTACAATTACTATCAGACACTCAAAGCTTGTCTAGAAGAAATCTCTTTCATAGAATATGTCCGCCATCGTACTCATTCTTTTTTTAAGAACTCTGTATCCTATAATTTAAGACTTTACTGTACTATAGTGTTACCACAAACAAACAAACTTACTTCTAATTCATCTTGCAAGATTTTTTTATTTAATTATTATTTATTTTACAATGGCAAACAAGTTGCTGGCCCATCTGATGGAAAGTGATAACCATTGCCTATAAACATAGACATAATAGAGTATACTATTTCGCCTTTAATACCCCTATGCGTTGCCATTCCTGAGGACTAAGGTGTTATTCCTCTGTACCCAGTAATTTGACTGAGTTTGTAAAAATGACGCATTTTTCAGTAGGTATAACATTGTAATTGCTGACTTTTAAAACATGATTATTACTGCAATATTTTGTCATTAAATAATCGAAAATAATCATAAATTGAGATTCTCGTACTGTACAAAAAAAAATTTACGTTAGCGAAGACGAAAAATGCAAGAAAATGTTAATTGTAATTAATTAAATGTTAATTAATGAATAAATAAGAAATACTTCAAAGGGAAGTAGATAGTCACGTAAATCTTGAACAAACCCCATAGCATTTCTTATTTAATGATTTTCCTGTTTGCCTCTCATCTTTTACGATGGAAATACGAAAGAGCCGCTATTTCAATAGCTATTAACAATGTAGATGGGATGTTGTGTCTTGTAATTCCTTTGTGGAAATATTACTAATATTATTTCCTATTTACTACAAAAATAGATGTAGCACAAAGTATTATGTTTGCGATATAAAAACGATTCCTACGACATCTATACGAGAAAATATTTTAGCTCTTATTATATATAATAAATTGTATATTTATTTTTTGTTCGAGTCTGTAATTATTCAATGCTAAAGTTAAGTTGAAATATATATATTTTTTATAATATAGGTGATATATTATATATATAGTATTGCCGTGTGGTTCCGATATAAAACGGACCACCTATTTCTTACTCGAACTTTATGGTTGAGAGGTGGGCAGCAGCGTCTCTCTTAGGGGCATTAACATCAACAAAGTCTAACTGTGGTTGCCAACCCACCTGCCAAGCATAGCAACTACTGGAAAACTGGATGAAGGGATATTTTACCAGCGAAATTGAATACTGTCTTAAAAAAATACGTAGATACTTTTTCTATACGAGATTTCACAATTGAACGCGCGGCATTAGTGTTTGAGGCTAATAATTAAAAATTTTATTATTATTATTATTACCTGTTGTTAACTGTCCACTGTTGAACATAAGCCTTCCCCGTAAGGGAAGTTTTTCCAGTAGTTGCTACACTTGACAGGCGGATTGGCAACCGCAGTTAGGCTTTTAGATATGTTTTAAGAGGGACGCTGCTGCCCATCTTTTGACCATTGAGGTTCCCTTAGTCATCCCTTACAATACCCACGGTTAAGGAAGGGATGGTCCATTCTATGCCGGGACCACACGATGTAGAATGGCATAGTATTTTCACATTCATCATTGTTATTATTTCAGACGTGAACTGTCCACTGCTGAACATAAACCTTCCCCGTAAGAGAAGTTTTTCCAGTAATTGCCACGCTTGGCAGGCGGATTAGCAACCGCAGTTAGACTTTTAGAGATGTTTTAAGAAGGACGCTGCTGCTCATGCTTCGCCCTCCCTTAGTCGACTCTTACGACACCCAAGGGAAAGGAAGGAATTTAAAGAATTGTTATATTAATTAATTAAAACCCACTTCATTTGTGACAAAATTGGTTATTTTCTTTTTAAAAATCAAACAACTGACCCGATTTTGATAAAATTTCTGTGGGACCAATCAGTTACTATATTCTTTCAGATAATATAAGAATTTTTCAAATCGGTTTAGATCTGATGAAGTTATGAGGTAATAAACATAAAAAATATAACAGAATTGAAAAAATCTCCTTCTTTTTGAAGGATTGAAGATTTTTTTTTTGTTTTCAATGAATATTTTTTTAGGATCTTTTCACTTGTAGGGCATTCCCTTGAAAAGAGACTAATCTCGAATTTTAATCTATATTTCTATTTGAATTACTCGTAATTTAATTAATAATAAGCTAGAATTAAAAAAGACAGGCGTGACAGATACGAGTATGTATGAATGTATGTAAGCTAGAATATTTACCATCAAGTTGGTAATCGAAGGTGGTCAGTTTCTTTGCCTGATAACAGTTAATAATATTAATAATAAATAATAAAACATATAACATAAATTAGGCTTCCTAATCAAATTCTAAGGTAGACACATGGGAGGTATCATGGGCGAAACAGTATACTTTGTTATATCCATGGTACTGTTCATGTCTATAGGCGACGGTTACCCCTTTCCATCAGGTGGATCCTCAGCAGCCATTCTAAGTTGCATAAAAAAAAGACCTTATCACTTAAATATGCACTCTCTATGCAAGTGTATTTTTAAACATTGTCAAAGTATGACAAATCAATTTTAATGTATACAGACTCGAATATAAACGAAAGATTAGAGATTGGAATCATTCCTGAACTACTGTTCTCATGACACATAATTCTCGTAGTATCGATGTTATATTATAATTCAGGTAAATTAATGACATGAAGTTACTAAAACTATCATTAATATACATAGCTTCATTGCAACTGTGTCAAACTTTAGAGAATCACGGCGTGAGTATTTTATTATAGTTTATTTATTATAGTGTAATGTAGTAATCTTATAATATAATAAAAATATAACTACACAAAATATACAGCTATGTGGGAGACATTTAAAAAAATAATATAAATAACAAATCCTTAAAATGATAGCTGAGGATGTCCATAGACCTGTGACAGGGCATTTCGTCGGGACGTTGAATAAAATACAAAATAAACATGTCCTAGTTTTTTGCCGTCCTGATCGAATGCCTCTCAGGTATATGATTTATTAAATTATAAATTTACTACTAACAAAATAGATTTTGTCTAATTCAGATTCAGATTCTTAATTTGCACATTACATGTCCAGTTGTGTACACTTCGAGCTACATGATTCACCAAAATGCAATACACCAGTATGCAAAAATGTATTAAAATTCTATAACCTAGTCATTTTGTACATAATATGTCAAAATTGTCTGGCATTAAATGCATTTTAACTTGAATATATAATTTTTAAAAATCTTATCTGACTGTCTATATGTTTGTTTCGACATCACGCAAAAACTACTGCACTAAATTAAATATAATTCTTACAGTTATCTTAATATATCGTAATGGATTATTGAAGTTATCTATTTTATAAATATTCTTGCATCTAAAATCCACACTTGCGAAGTAGCAGGTAAAAGATAGTGACATAATAATATATTTATTAAGGGGCTACATCTGTAATCACGCAGATGGCTATATATAAAATGTATTAATATAAAGGTTAATATTAAAAAAATAATGGGATGAAAAGTACGTAGTAAGTATTGTCTAAATATGTATATTAAAATTAATTTTAATCCAACCAGCCGTGTAATAGAGTATGTAAAAAAAAAAATCAAAACCTGCTATGAAATTGAATGAAAGTTTATTAAAATGTTAAGATGTTTGTTACTCAATCACATTTAAATAACTGCTGTATTTGAATAAAACTAGATGCTTAGATTACTAAGGATTAATGAAAATATATGAATATATTTTTAGGTCCGTAAAAAAAGGAATCATGAATATACTCGAGTAGTTAACGATCATAATCCAATCATCCAAATAGGAAATCTTAAAGAAAGACCTAGATTCGTTCAGGCGCATACCATACCAATAAATGTGTTACCACAAAACATTTACAATTTAAAACAAATACCTATGATGCAAACTATCCCGAAATCTGTTAATCCCTACGTTGATAAAGATTTAACAAGGAAAGCTTTTATTCCAATAAAAACAGTACAGTTAAATAACAAAATACCCGTCAACTTAGTAGCGCCAGAAAAGAAAGAAAAAATAGAAAAGAATAATGAGATTAAAAATAACACATCTACAGAAATAAGTTGTAAATACAAAAAACATGATTATTTTGAAAATGATATTGATGTAAGAGATAAGAAATCATTACAAGTCAAAATTAAATTGCCTGTTTCAAATACGACAAACCAAAAACAAACTACAAAGCATTATAACAAGGATTCACATGATACTGATTCCGAATATCTATTAAGAAATGTTGACATTAGGGCTCTAAAAGTCAAGGCAAATTCGTCTATCGTTAAAACGAAATTAGACAGAAATATAAATAATGATACAAGAAATGTTACTAATAATGGAAAGGAATCTGTTAAAAATGCAACTAAAAGTACAACAGATGTTGTACATAAAATATTAAAATCTGGTAACAACAATTTAAATTCGAAAGCAAACATGGATAATGTCCTAACTAATAGCAAGCGTAAAGAAAATAATACCGAAACTAAAACAATGGTTAATGATAACAATTTAAAAGACCCTGATATCGAAACGGATGTTAATAGAAAAGAAAAATATAAATTATTAGCAACGAAACCTGTCACAACTGGTTCTGAAGTAATGGACAAGATTAAATTTGTAGTCAATATAGATTCGAATGAGGTAAAATCATTTCAATGCGGTATGTATTTCTCATGTTAGTTCCATGTAAAAACTTAGAAAATATTTAGCATTTTACTAAGACTCTTATTATTTGTACTTTGCTTTCAGATCCTAGTGATAGAATTGTAATTAAAAATCGTAATTATGAAGAGATTATAGAGAAACAAAACACTCCACCAGCGCAAATTGATTATCAAGATGATAATTATTATTATAAACCTGAAAACACTTACGACCAGGAATATTTCAATGGGAATGTATACGATACAATGTCGAATACAAATTCATACAGGCCAGATATTACATTCATCAAGTCACCTTATGAATACCCTTTTGCAGATCAAATAAACTATGAAGAATTATATAGATACAAACAAAATGATGCATTTTCTAGGAATTGTGAAAAGAAAATTATTCCTAATGATAGAATTTGGAGAAAATGGAACGATGTAAAGATTTCTGTACAAACTAAGGATTCTGATGAACCCGTAGATTCAAAAATGTATACTCTAAATGAAAATCAAGATAATAATGCTGTTAATGAAAAAGTTTACCAAAGAATGCTAGATAACAATAATTATTATTACAGATATAAAAAACAAAATAATAACATGAAGATGACAGTGTATCCGTGCTACTTATATCCTCATAATAATTTTTAGGAATGTTAACTCTTTGACTTTCGTGCTGCAGGTTTTATGTTTTATAAGAGACGGTAATAAATCTGTAGTTACTGGTGAAACCTGGTCGAAACGTCGAGATAATTCAGGTAAATTGCCATAGTTTACCTATATACCAGAGAGAGACTTTGTACAAGTCGTTTGCTTGGATACCTCTGTCCCATTCGTATTTCAACCGTAAAGCAGTTGTGTTTGCATGGCTGTGTTTCGGCTTGAAGGATGAGATATGGCGTGAATTTACAGGATACAGAGGAATAATACTTGAGTCTTCAAGAATGGTAACGCATGGGGGGTATGGGGAGCAAACAGTATACTCTGTTATGTCCATAGTATTGCTCATGTCTATAGGCGACGGTTACCACTTTCCATCAGGTGGGCCGTCAATTTGTTTACCATTCTAAGTTGTATAAAAAAAATATGATCACGTTAATTCGCGTCTCTTATAAAACAAATTTTAGGAATGTTTTTAATTTGTTTATTGTAAATAAATATGATATTTTACTAAAAAACTAAGGCTATTATTTAAGAAGGCTAGAAGTTACTTTAATAGTGTTACTTTAATGAATATTTTCCTAAACAATAAATATAAACTTACACTTTATATTAGATTTATTTGTTTGATTTGTTTGTTTTATTTTATTTATTTGTATGTTTTTATTTATTTGTTTGTTTGTTTTTTTTGTTTTGTTTATTTATTTGTTTGTTTGTCTGTTACTCATGTTTCTTCTTTCAAGAAGTTGTGTTTGCATGGGAGTGAAATTACTTGGCATCCCATGAGCCAAACTATGGCTTATATAATATAAACAGTGAATGTGATGGTGTTTATGGGTAACGATTGTTTCATGGCATCAGATGGACTGTCTGCTAGATTACCATTAGAAGTTTGTTATGATAATTTAGAAGACAATGTATAATTTTATATAGTTATATAAAACAAATTAATAAAAAAGAACTGTACAAAATGTTGTGTTTCTGATATTACAAATGCTTGATTTTGATATCACTCTCGATATTATTTTATATTCTCTTGTTATTGATAATTAAATGAAAAAAAAAAAATCTTTTTAATAACTACTAAATTTTGCTTCGTTATCCATCTGATCCTGTAAATGTTACATATATAATTACTTAGGTAATTCTCATTTGTTTTTTAATGGCAAACCATCACTACAATTTGGTAAGATAGATTCCAAAGAAAATTTGTCTGTGTATTTTTAAACCCTGAAAATGATTTAATGAAATAAAAACGATACAATATAGGCGAATATTAAATATTTAATTTAATATAAATCCTAAAATTACCAGAACTTTACAGAAAAAATCAGCAAATATGAGTGGCAGTAACAATTAAATTAATAAAAAAATATTTAAACCCAAAATTATTAAAAAAAAATCCATTTCTATGCAAAGTACAATTTCAATTCATGCCTCAATGTATTATACATCATTATAGTTATTATAATAAATTTGATTTTAATTTGTAATATGCATTAAATGAAGCAGATTTATCAGCAATTAAACCCTAAATATTCTTAAAACTACTTTATTCATAAATAAATTCTTACATATTCAACAAACATTGAAAGTAGAAGAACAATACAATGGAATGTTAAAATAAAGTTGAGAAACTTTAAGTAAGTTAACACGAAGTATGGTAGCCAAAATGTTAATAGAAAAACGGGACAGATTTCTATATATAAGTATATATTATAAATATTTCAATTCATTTCCAATATTCTCTACTCTTTGGTATTCATGTGACACGTCAATCCAATGCTACACACAGATGATCAACACAAGTATAGGATAAAAATTGACATTAGTATATAGTTTAGTACAGAATTGACATCTCATTCACGATTACACACTTTTACATAACTATTAAACGATGCAAGGTTGTCTAACTTCGTACGCACGATTTTCAATAACTCAATCACTATTTAGTATCGAGTAACTTTGACATAACATTACTAACACCGATTTCATGATAAATTGTTCTTTTGTATCGAAAATAGAGTGGACTTTTTTGTTCCTTGATAATATTTACCTTGCATTACGTTTATAACCTAGGTGTAATCGAACACATTCTATTTTCGTACCTACGAAGTCAGAATCCCGCCGGTGCCACGACAGTATGGTCACCTTAGTTGGGGACATCCTTGCGCACTTTATGACCGCGGAACGAGGCTTGTATCTTGGTCGCAGCCTTGTTCAGGTCAGGGTCGGTCAAGTCGATCTTCTCTATATCCTCCTGCAATAGAAATTATGTTCATAATATTACTAAAAAGTAACTTAGCATCCACACAAGTTTATTGATCAATCAAGCTGTCCATACTTTTTTTTAATGGATGATAATGGAATGATAACCCCGCCTGCGCTAACGGTATACACTGGAGGAGCACTGATACACTGAGGGATGATTGGTGAAGATAAAAAGGCAGATCAATTAGCCCATCGTGACGAATTCAACGATAAAATAGTCACGATGTTTTCCAGAGAGAACCACGTGGAGGTCGACCTGGTAGGGTATATTGATAGCAATGAAGACGAACCTCCCCATTACTAACATAACAAACCCTTCCCCCCAGCTCTCCATATTAGCTGGATTAGGTCGAGTTGTTTTAGTATGAGAGGCTCCAAACTCTCTAAGAAAAAGAAATATGGGTTAACTTATATTTCTTTGGCAAAGATTTCGACTTTACTGTTCACCTGATGTCCAATACAGATTATATTTATAGAAATCTTATAATCATACCATACGTTATTTTATAGTATCACGTGTTCAAATATCTTTTATATAAATTGCGCAGTTTACCATTTCATTCGTGTTTCTACCGTGAAGCATGGCTTTGGTGTTTGCATGGCTGTGTTTCGGTTTGAAGGTTGGGATATGGCCTGAATTTACTGGGTACAGAGGAATAACACCTGAGTCCTCAGGAATGGCAACGCATGGAGGGTATAATGGGCGAAACAGTATACTCTGTTATGTCCATGGTACTGCTCATGTCTATAGGCGACGGTGACCACTTTCCATCAGGTGAGCCGTCAGCTTGTTTGCCATTCTAAGTTGTATAAATTTATTTTTTGAAAATACGATTTTCATATGTGATATTGTACTCGTATTGTAGCGAGCTGCACGCGATTGGTTATTATGTCACAAATATGTGCTTTCTAGTATAGGTATCGCGTGATAGAAGAACATTACTAGGAGTATAAGGTTTACTAAGAGTCTCTTATCTATTGGAAAAGTACTTGTATTTATTATACAAATAAAAAATATTATAATGGTTATCCATTACAAACAAACATACAAAAAATCGTATCTTTTCTTTTATATATTAGTATAGGTATAGAGAAAATATGGTATCAAAGTTGGACCTAATTCTAGTTGGTTAAAATAATTTAAAAATATCCATCTGGCTTTTACCTTATCCTGCTGTTCTTTGTCCTTCTCCGCCTGAGTCTGCTTGCGGGCCTGGTGTCCCCTGAACGATGCTTGAATCTTCGTTGCGGCATGGCACAAATCTGAAAAAAAGTTTTTTTTTAATTCTTTAATTAACAATTTTTATATAACTTAAAATATTTGGATGTTTATAAATATAGATGTTTAGATTTTTGTTACTCAATCACGGCTGAGCCGATTTGAATGAAATTTTAGTGCACAAATAGACCATGGATTAACATATAAGATACCTTCATTATTCATGTGAACAACGACGCGATAAAGAGCTAATAAGTTTAATAATGGCCAATCACCATTATAATTACCATGTTCATGAGAAAACTCAAAAATCTCTGGTACAATTCATCATCTATAACAATGACTTTTAGAAATAGATGATGATGCGAATAGATTATAGTTAATATTAGATAGTATTAAACCTGTAATTAAAATTTAATGGTCGAGGAATGGACAGCAGCGTCCCTCTTAAAAAGTTATCAAAGCCTAACAATCAAGCTATCAATCCGTCTGCTGTTAAAAATAGAAGTTTTCATTTCGATTGTATTTTTTCAAGTCTATTATCTCATAACTTCATAATTTATAAACCGATTTGGAAAATTATTTTTTTTATCTAAAAAAATATGCTTTCAAATTAATCCCATTGAAATTATATTAAATTTGCTTTAGTAGTTTAAGTTTTAAATAAAAATAACTGGTTTTGCTACGATTAAAGACATTTTGTTTTATTAAATCTTAAATTATTTGTAATAAACAATTTAATTAAATAACTTAATAATATTTTTTTAATGTTATATTGGATTAAGTAATATTTTGTTATTATTTCTTCTTGTAAATAAATTTATGTTTCCTATATATAGATATATAGTATAAATATATAAATGTATAAATATTGAGGTGTTATTCTGCAATATGATTCAAAGGAGTACATATAATAAACTAAAAATCACAATAATTAAGTAACACAAGATCCCGCCCAATTACCTCCAGCAAATTTTTATAATACGAGCCCATTAAATAACTTAATAGTTTATACATGCAATAATGTTTCAATCACAAAAATAAAATTTAATTAATCATCAGTCTTATTAAAAAATATGTAATATTCAATGTAATAAACTGATTGAATTAATTAATTTAAGCACAACAGAGTAACTATCTTACTAAACACCAAAAGCACGTTCGTATTCCTCGATCGTACGAAATCGAATTCGTATACGATACATACGGAATCCAATCGAATGGCTATTTCATGGGACTTTTAATGTCAAGGAAAAGGCATCTCTCATGGCGTATCGCAAGGTTTAAAATGGCAACGTCTCATTTTATATTCCATTGTTATTGGAGCCGGTTATCGCCGATTTGTCATTCGTAATCGCCCACTTCTCTGCGGTGAAATGTTTTTCAATTTAGTCCCTGTTTTATGTGATAGCCGATAGTCGCCGTTGAATTTTTTATTATTTATTAAAATTGTTTTATGTTTCTCTTCTGGGAATGGATGATTCGATGTTGTATGAATTTATTCATTTCCCTTTTTAACTTTATAAATACATATGTATTTATGAATCAATAAATAAATTAAAATTTATTTCTTTAATCCACAACACTTATATACACTTCGACTACGAGTTATAATAACATTAAAAACTTTATATTATTCTCAATTTCGTGTATAATATAGTATATGTCATATGGGGGGAAAGGGATTGTTAGTAATGGACACTGAGAATCCCATTGCTAGCAATATACCCAACCAGGGTAACCTCCTCGCGTTTCCCCCTGGAAACTATCATGGTTAATTCCTGATGAATTTATCTAGATGATTTTCACGTCAAAATGTGTTTCTAAATCGTCCCATATTGTGAATTATCAATTCGTACGGTACGTGACTTATTCTTTAGTTCGAAGCTTTTTGGCTGTTATTTTATGGCTGGATCATTTATCATAGAGACTAATGTTCAGTACAAAACTTATAGAAAGGCCTACTTTTTGCCACTTAAGAAGGGTAAATGGACTTGGATTTTAGTTTTTACTATGGGCAATATTAATATTTACCAGAGGGAGACTTTGTACAAAAGTCGATTGCTTGGGTATCTCTGTCCCATTCGTGTTTCTACCGTGAAGCAGTTTTTATGAGATCTAGCAAATGGTAGGTAATAAATCAAAAGTTTAAGTTGCGTGAATTTACTAGGTACAGAGGAATAACACCCGAGTCCTCAGGAATGGCAACGCATGGGAGGTATCATGGGCGAAACAGTATACTCTGTTATGTCCATGGTACTGCTCATATCTATAGGCGACGATTACCACTTTCCATCATGTGGGCTGTTAGCTTGTTTGTCATTCTAAGTTGTATAAAAAAAAAATTACCTTTTTCTCCGCCATCAATATCCAAAGGAACACGATATATAGATATCAAGTCGGTACCGATATTACTCAAGTTTTGTCTTGATTTAAAGTGGAGTATAAAAGCGACGGTTATTACATTTTATCAGGTGGGTCGTCAGTTTGTTTGCCATTTCAAGCTGCAATAAACTCCCCTTGCATTAAGTAATTTCACATAATTTACAACAGTAAGCAATTATGCGTATTATCTAAGTAATCAACGAGAGAATATCCAATATTAGTAACCTAAAAAGGTTAAGGTTGCCTGGAAGAGATCGCTGTTCAGCGATAAGGCCGCCCATTGTTGCCTCTTTATCTTGCTTTTAGGTAATTAAGTTTATATAATTATATGTATCAATCTTTAAAGGGAACAATAAAGTGTTTTCGTCCATTTATTCGTTCTAAACGGGATATGATAATCTTTAATGTGGGTATAACATTATATATTTACAAAACGGAGCAATGGTCGATATGCGATGGCTATATATTTTGTCCCTAATATGTCCTGATATATAAAGGTACCTACCTATATATCAGGACATAACCTATAGTTGAACGACCCTAACGGACGCTAAGCTATATCGTAAAGGGACTTTATTATAAAATAATAGTATTTTTAGTATACATTCTATTCATATAATAAACGTGAAAGTTTGTAACGATGGATGGATGAAAAGTTGCTATTCTTTAACGCAAAACTGCTAAACAAGTTTAGATGAATTTGGTACTCGAGTAGGTTTCCTAACTTAGCGCATAGGGGGGAAAGGGATTGTTAGTAATACGGACTATCAGTCCCATTGCTATCAATATACCCTATCAGGTTGACCTCCACGTGGTTCCCTCTGGAAACCATCGTGCCGAATTCCAGGTGTATTCATCACGGTGGGCTAATCACACTTTCATCCTCACCTATCATCCCTCACTGGTGTCCCGCCAGCGTACACTGTTAGCGCAGCCGGGTTATCATTCCATTATCATCCATTGAAAAAAAATAGCACATAGGATACTTTATATATTGAGTCACGCGGGCAGAGTCGCGGAATGGAGCTAGTAAATATAAAATATCAGTGAATATACACAGCGCCATCTGGTAATATATTCAATGATCATCATCGTCATCAAGAGTTTGTATCTTCAATGGGAAGTAGATAACTGGTAGATTTATTTAAATATGAGTACTAATTCTTCTCTTCCTTTTCCATTGGTGTCGTAAAAACCGACTAAAGGAGGGCGAGGGAAGGGCAGCAGGGACCCTCTTAAAATATTTCTAAAACCTGACTGCGGTTGCCAAATCACCTGCCAAGCGTGGCAACTACTGGTGAAACCCCCCAAGGCGAAGGATGGACATTTAAAGGACATGGACATTCAGTAATGGACAGTTAAAGGCTGATATGGTGATGGTGATGATGAGTAATTCTTCATTATATGTGATATACAAAATCCTAAATCCCTGATAATCTTAAAATAAATTTGTCCTAAAATAAATTTTAATTAATTAATTTTATATTATACCAAATTAGCCGTTAACTGTTCGCGGCTGAACATAGGCCTTCCTCATAAGGGGAATTTCTCTAGTAGTCGCCATTTTTAGCAGGTGCATTGGCAACCGCAGTTAGGCCTTAATAATGCTTCAAGAAGGACGCTGCTGCCCATCTATCGACTATTAAATTTAGTTAGTTGCTTTTTACGACATCCACTGGAAAGAATGGGGTGACCCATTCCATGCCGGGAGCACACAGCGACGATCATTATGGTATAAAACACTAAATTTCAATAAAAAAAAATTGACAATCGGTTCAGAATTAATGCATTTATATTCAAGAAAATATTATTTATATTCTTACACTTTTTTGAAGTTTAAAATCAAAATTACGTGTAAATAGTGAATAAGTTAAAATCCATATGATTTATTGAAAGCAAAACTTTACATAGTTGTATATTTATATTTATTATATGTATATACACAATACATATGTGTATACACAAGTACATACAAAGTAGATCAAAGTGTAGAAAAAATAATACTCAGAATGAAAACATGATCGCGAAAAAATCGCACAATGAAAAATATTTTATAGTATAATATTTTTCGCCACAAAACATATTAATCCAGCAAAATATAGCGGTCCAATATACGGATACCTTCATTTCGTCTGACAAGAGCCAAGCAATAAAGTATTTTATTTGATCAAAATTGAACGGAGTGAAAAAATTCGTTCATTACATTCGATATTGTCGACTATTCTCACCGGCAATTTGAGAGCTACAATCTATTTTAGATCTCAGTTCCATTGTTATTTTGGTTTATTTAATTAACCAATTAACGTCGTTAGGTTACCGGGATTGAGTTTGTTGACTTCTAAAGCTAAAACAGTAACTAAAGCAAACTGTTAGATAAAATTTTTAAATAGGTACATTACTATGAATGGACCAAAAGATTTTGGATGAATAAAATGGAATCTATGTACATATAATAAAATTGTAACTAGACTACATTTGTATATAATAAATATATAAGGAAAATTGATAAGAGAGATCAATTAAGAGTAATAAAGTCAAAACAGTGGAATAATTTTGAGTTTTTGTACTTGCTCCTGCATCGCACTGCTGTACCACATTTAATGCGGATTACACAATTTTGTTTCTAAACGTCGAACTTAAAATCTGTTGTTTATTTTAT